GGTCTGTCAACTGCTCCTTCTGGTTTTGTGTCATCTGCATATTAACTGAGGGTGCACTCTGTCCCGTCATCCAGGTCATTAATGAAAACATTAAACTATTACCCCCAGTAGACCCATGAGGTAAACCACCTGTGGCTGGCTTCCTTGCAACTCACCACTATCCATTAAGCTCAATAGTTCATTCAGTTTTCAGTCCACATCACTTTCCATTTCTCTAGGTTGTACTTTATCAGTTTGTTTATGGGGATAAAATGGGAGACAATGTCAAAAGCCTTGCTAAAATAAGTTAAATTCCATCATCTCAGCCAGTCAACATGTTGTAGAAGACTGTAAAGTTAGCTGGTCAGGCATGATTTCCCCTTCTCAAATGCAGGCTGACTATTCCCAGGGTTTTTTTTGTCCTTTGTATGTTTGTCCATGGTTTCTAGGAGGATTTGCTTCAGTCTCAAGGCAGTCCCAAATATCATGTGGACTTCATTTTATGAAGGTAGAAGAAACAGGTAAAAGCAAACGCAGGGGCTAGTGGGAGAGGGTTAGTGCTGTGTTTGTGCTCAAGAAGTGTTCAAGGAGTGCTCTTCAATGGGTCTTGCAGTTAGACCAACTCTGGTACCCCTGCCCAGCAGCGAGCAGCTGGTGTTGCAGAGGCAGTAAGTATGAGGACAGAAGTGTTCAGGCACGAGAACTTTCCTCCCTGCTTGAGGATTCCCAGCACTGGAAAGTCACTGAGCTCTCCTGTAGGATGAACTCAGAAGATGAGTCTTCGGGTTTTATATTTAAATGATATTATGTATGTGGATTTTGCTAGCACAAAAGAGGTTGAGCTAAATTGCTTCTAAGTATAGGGCTCTGCTGTGTTCTTCTATAGTTAGCACTTCATTATATTGAGCTTACTGTGACTGAAGAAAAGATTTAGCATTTATTTTAACTTGTTTATTAATAAAAAATGTCTACATCTGAGCATTTAGCAATAATTCACTATCATTCTAAAGTCTTCAGTGTTTAAAGCAAATCTATGGTGCAGCTCTTCTGGTAGAAATAGAAGAAAAATCTTCTGCAGTTGGAAAGTTACAGACTGTGTAGGTGTTGAAATGCCTCCTGCTTCATATTCTTAATTGGCAGCAAGCCAGGTACTAAGAATTTCTGGTTTAAAGGGAAATACTTCCCTTTTCTTTACATTTCAATGAATAAAGGCAGCATTTTGGTTGCATTTTTTAGCAGTTAGGATTTCTTCCATCTTGATACAAAATGAATAAAATTTTCAGTTAAATAACTCTGTCAAGTTACCTTGAACTTGAGCATGATTACACAAAGGTATGTATTCCTTTCAAGTTTTATCATAAGAAGTTGTGGGCCTCATCCCCTCTGTGACCCTTTTCCACTCTGGGTGCTCTGGATTTCTCAGTTCTGCTTTAAAGCTTCATTGGAATTAGCATGTGATACTCAAGAGAAATTTTCCATGAACATGAAAGACTTCAGAATTCATGGCTTTAAATTAGTTAATAAAATGACTTTGAATAATGCAAAAATATTTCAAGTTGTAAGTATATCAGTTATTAATCATTAACTTAAGTTCATTTTCAGTAGTTGACAGAATACTGCCCTTTCACTGAGTTTAGACATTACTGGGAGAAGTTTTTTATTGAGAGCGCTCATACATGTTTACCAATAAAGATTAGGGGGATGCTAATATTAAAATCAGTCTGAAAAATCTAAACTCTCATCCATTCTTGCTGGTTTTGAATGGCATTAGAAAGGGCTTTGGTGTAGCTTTGCCCTATCAAAACTTGTCAACATTTACAAACAACAGTTAAACATATAGTGGGGTGTATATAGTTACTAACCAGAAAATTGGTTCCTAATGCTTTTTAAGAAAATCACATCAGCTTAATTTTATGTAAGTAGGTAGTCTTAACAGAGGATTAAACCACGGAAAAAATACTGATGTATTCTCTCTTGGAATACACACCGTATTAAAAAATTACAGTGTTGGATTAGCCATTTTGTGTATTCCTAAAGTAAGATAAATACTGAGAGAAAAGATAACCCATATTCAAAAATACAGGAAATGGTGATTGTTTTTATGCTTTGTCAAGCCTTTTTCTCTTCCTCTTGAAATGATATATCTGAAATTTGTCTTGTTTTCAGCCAGGTTTTTTAATTAATATTTTTGTTACTACACTCTGATATTGTGAATTTCAGTGTAATTTTTTTCCATCTGTGTTGAGCTCCATCCCCAGCTATAATTTTTGTTTGCTCTTTATTGTTGTAAATGTATAGGCACAATAAAGGTGAAGTGTCTGCTCTTGGAATGATTTCCAGATTTTGCTCAGCAGGTCAGAATGTCGCAGCCTTGGTGACAGCAATATGTGATAACCTCAGTACAGTGCTCACAACTTTCTACTCACTTGTTACCCATCTTAGATTTAGAATAAGCCTTCTATTTGCATTCTTATTTAACTAATACTTAAGGTGTATGTGATCCAAAAGAAAGAAAAGGCAAAAATACTAGTTCCTCGCATTCATGGTGTGTAGCATTTTTATAGAACAGTTATTACCATTACTAAGTTTTTAGTGGATTTGACCCTAGATTAGTTCAGTTGGTTAGAACATGATGTTAATAATATCAAGGTTCCAGGTTTGGTCCATGTGTGGGCCATTCACTTAAGAGTTGGACATGATGATCCTTGTGGATCCCTTTCATCTCAGAATATTATGTGATTCTTGATTGCTCTGGGAAGTAGGAATGTTTTATTTTGTCCCAAATTAATTATGTTAGCTGATGTAATACACGAGCATTTGTAAAGATGTTACTTCGAGTTCAGTTTAGACACAGGAAAAGGTTCTTTGCTGAGAGGGTAGTCAGTCACTGGAACAGGCTCCTCAGGGTGAAGGAGTGGTCACAGCACTCACACAGGTGGTCACAGCACCAAGCCTGTCAGAGTTCAAGAGTCTTGACGGTACGTTTGGTCATATTATTTACTTTTAGGTAGTCCTGTGAGGTGCAGGAGTTGGAATTGATCCTTATGAGTCTTTTCCAATGTGAGATACTGTATGATTCTAATACATTACTATGTGAGAAATCAGTGGAACTACTTGCAATGGTGAATCTGAGCATAAACCTGAGCACCTGTAGGACTAAGGCTTGTAATGTGTGTCTGTGGGTAGGAGCCAACATTTACTTACAGTGCTGCTATACACACGAGTGCTAGTCTTTGTGTCAAGTGATAAAGGGAAACAGGCACTGCAGGGGCACTGTCCATCTCATCTATTTAGACTGAGATAAATTGCTTTTTATTAAGTCTTATTTTTCTCCATTGATTGATTATAAAGGAAGTTTATCTTAGAGGCAGACATGCACAATCTAAGATGAAATTAATTCCATCATATATGCTTTAGTCACATACTGTGAGATTACAGACACTTTGTGTTATTCTGTACAAAAATAGAAAGGAAAAAAAAGAGAGACATATCTGCCCTTTCTGGAGGGTAAAGGTTTTGTTGGGGCAGAGGTTTTCCTATGTTAGTGCCAATATACAGAGTGATAGTTTGTAATTGGTGAGTTGGGTAATTACACCTGTGTGCAGAACGGAAACCTAAAACATAAGTGAACTGGGGGGAGGTGTGACTCTCCACCTTGCAAAGAGGATTTGAATTCCTGCCATCAAGCCTCTACTTAATCTTCTAGAATGTACTGCCTTCTAATGTGGAAAATTATCTTTGCAAGGATAGTAAAGAATACTTTCTTTCAAAAATTTTTACATTGAAATTGAAGTTTGCTAGATACAATTAAGTTAATATTGATGATACCTAATTGCAGTTTGAAATTACAGAGTACAAAGAAAAAAAATCTTTCAGTAAGATATTACAGTATTTTGGTTGGAGTATTTTAGTCTCTGTAGATTTTAACCAAAGATTTTACTTTTGTTTCTGGCTTATTATACAAATATATCCTTATTTTTAAAAGCATATTTATATATATTTAACAAAATAGGTCTAAATTGGCCTGCTTGACTGTACCTGTAATTTCATTTGAGCTTCTGAAAGACATGAATGTTGAGGATGATGTAGAGCATTAATGGAATGTGTAAAGATCTTTTCAGCTTTAAATGCTGCAGAAAGACTTTACACCTTAACTGTGAATTCTCTAATATACTTCAGAGACAGAACAAAACTGGAAGATGATTGTGCAAATCTCCTATCCTGTGACTATTTATGTATCTAGTCCCTTCCAGAGGTCATATGTTTCACTAAGGGAAAAAAAAGGATGTGTTGATGTTTAGTTTTATTTTTAATTTTGGCGTCCAGACCCTTTCTGTTTCTGATTCTATTCTAGAAGTTTATCCACTTGAGTGATCTTTATTTTCATCTCATACTTTTTCTCCATTGTTGCCTATCATTTCCTTCCTATCCTACTTTTTTTTCTTTTCCTTTTTCAATTGTGGGATACCATTGAGAGAGACAGGATGGGGAGAAAGGTGGAAGATCTGTAACCAAGTTTTTACATCCTTTAATCACGATTGTCAGTATGCATCTGATTATATCTCTGACTGTTTTCCCTACAAAAAGGAAAAAAATGATAGATTTCTGTTAAAATGTTGTACATCATGTGTAGCTTTCATGTATATCTTCTATTTGTCCCCTACCTATGGTTTATCCCTTTTATTGTTATAATACAAAAACTTCCACGAAACCACCACCTTGATCATCCAGTTTGAAAAGATCTTTTGAAAGTTTTATGTTTTTCTTCAAAGCTATACTAAAATTAAAACATTCCATGTAAGGAACTATATATAACAGCTTTTATGGTTGCTGTGTTTTAATGCTGTCTTCTGCAATGTATTCTGTAAAAAAAAATTCCTCTCTTTACTTACATGAAAAACCAGGGTAGGGTAGGTTTGTTCTTGTTGTTTTTTTTTTTTTTGTTTGTTTGTTTTAAATGAAAACTGTGAGTTTGTAATCATGATACAGAGTAATATATTGTGTGTGTTTGTTTTTGTAAGTTCTGGTCAGGATATCCAAGGAACAAGTGTGGTGGCAAATCTTCCAGTCCTGATGCGACAGAATCCTGCTGAAACTCTTCGTCGGGTTTTACCAAAAATCAGAGTAAGTTTTGTGAAATGAGGTTTGAATGTGCCTTTTTCTGCAAGTATAAGTATTTTAACAAAGCCAAAAAAAAATCCCACTTTTATTGCAACTCACTCTTCAGGAGTGGTATGTCCAGTAGGTCTTCCACATTAATTCACTGAATTTATGAAGTATTAACAGGTATTATATTTTTTAAAAAAATGTTACAACTGGGAAAAAAACTCAGAATTAATACTATTTATGTGTTCTAAAGGTTTAACAATATTTTGACAGCTTTTTGAGAATTCTTTTTGAGGACCATCTGGTCATAGTGGTTCATTTTGACCTTCTCGATCTCCTTCCATCCAAACATTAAGATTTTCATGCTGCTGTCCAGAAGAGTATAGTTTGCTTTTAGCTGTCTATGAAATGTCACATGCTACCCTCCCCACATTTTTAGTTAGTTGTGGTAGAAGCATGCTGACCATGTAATGTTATACAGTAATTTTATATACAGATATGATTGTATAAAGGATACTTGGGTTGTTCAGTCTGGAGAAGAGAAGGCTCTGGGTAGACCTTATTGTGACCTTTCAATACTTAAAATAGGCTTATAGGAAAGATGAGAACAAACTGTTTAGCCTGTTGAGGGTAAGGGGTATAACTAAAGGGTAGATTCAGACTAGATATAAGGACGAAATTTTTTGCCATGAGAATGCTGAAACACTGGAACAGGTTGCCCAGAGAAGTTGTGGATGCCCCATCCCTGGAAGTGTTCAAGGTCAGACTAGATGGGACTCTGAGCAACCCGGTCTGGTGGAAGGTGTCCCTGGTTGTTGCTGCGGGGGTGGACTAGATGACCTTCTGACCCAAACCATTCTATGATTCTGTGATTTTAAGGAACATGCATATCTCTCATGTATTTCTGCTCTGCCTCAGATATGAACCCTTGGCTAGAAGAAATGTAGAAGTTCATTTAAGGTGTGGTTTAAGGAGCAGCTTCAGCCAAATAAGAACAAACTGCATCACAAATACAAATGCAAAGCTTAATAACTCTATATGAGGCTGCAGTAGGAATTATGACTTTGATAATGTTAGCCTGCCTGTCAGAGTGGTTTTCGGTGATTTTAAAGGCTACCAGCTGGGTGGAAAAATACATTTGTTTTGGCTGTCAAAATATCTCAAAGTTTATTTTGGTACACAGCAAATATCTGAGTTGTTTTGTTTTTTTTTTATTGGATTGGTCTTCTACCAGTACCACTGTCAGTTTTTATGTGATTAAATAAAAGTTTTGATTTAGAACAGTCTCTTAACCTGATCTCGTGCAATTGATCACTTTGATATAAACACAGTCCTAATTTATACAAATTGTCAGCTGAAGGAGCATTGTGTTTATTATCAGTTATTTCAAGATTTTCAAAGCATTGAGTTATGTTAGTAATTTTATGGACAGATTCAATTTCCTTGTTCCCCGTGTATTTTCAGAGATACATTTGACACTTTCAGTAGGGTGATTCAGTCATGATTTTACCAGGACACTTCTCGAATTCAGTCGGTTTTTTTCCCATATAATTTTAAATCTCTCCCTTTTTAACACAATTTGCCAATAGGAGTGTTATTTTCTTCTTGGAAGCAATTAATGCTTAACAAGAATATTTAGATCACTTGAGATGAGAAGAATTTAACTAGTTACTGACTGAAGCTAAATAATAGTTTGATAATCTAAAATACATTGAAATGAAATGTAGAGTTATTTTAAGAGTCTCCTTGCTATGTTGTCCTTTCTATCTCAAGAACATTAGAGTTGAGAAGAAATTTTCTGTAGTAGCTGATGTGCGTTTTCTTGCTGTATCTGTATCAAATTCTCATTGCCAGGTATAAGAAAGCATATATTAGTAAGAAAAGTGAGATGACTGACTCACATGCTTATGTTATACAGTTTTCTATATACTGAGGAGATGTTTATTAAATTACAGAGTGGGCCCATGCAAAAATTATATTTGTTTGTTTCACTAAATTGTCATTTTGTTTCATTGTTTTCTTTGCTGAAGTTTTCAAAAAATCACTGCTTTTGTTGAAAACCTGTGTGGATGTGTATCTCTCAGCTTTTTTTTTTTTTTTTTTAAAGGCAGATATCATAACATTATATTAATAAAAGAATTAAAAAGAGTCATATTATGAAAAATTACTTGGTATATTTCTTACTGTCTGTGGAATTGGTCTTAAACTGAATCCTCCCTCTGTCTCCTAATGTTAAGGAAGAGGCTGCTCCAGGGACAATTCAGTATTTGTGAAAAACTAATATAATGAGTCATATCCTGCACATTGGTATGAATTGATAGACTGAAAGATGAGGAACAAATATTTTTGTAGTCCTTACCATGATTACTTAGCAAATATTCTTCTGTAGGGTATTTAAATGCAAGCCCCGATGCAGGGAGGACTTAGGTTCTATGTGGTAGATGTACTCTGTAAAGTTCTGTGTGCCAGTATGTGATGGGGATCACCGAGCTGGAAGGCTGCTTTGCAGAAGAGCACGTGGTGGTCACCAAGTTGAACATGAGCCAGCAGTGCTCCCCTGCAGAGCAGGGCTCCCCGTAGAGCATCCTGGGCTGTGTTAGTCAGGACACTGTGAAGAGTTCAAAGGTGATCCCTCCCCTCTACTCCACGTCCTACTCTACTCCATCTACAGCACTTATCCACTTCTGGGCTCCTCATAACAAGAGAGGGCTCAGACTGTTCAGAAGACCCCTGCAGAAGAAAGGCTTGAAGAGGATCTTATCAACATATGCAAATAAATGAAAAGGCCAGACTCTTTGAAGTGGTACCCAGTGACAGGACCAGAGGCAATGGGCACAAACAGAAACACAGGAGGTTCCTTCTGAACATCAGGAAACACTCTTTCACTATAAGGGTGACCGAGCACTGGCACAAGTTGCCCAGAGATGTTACTGTCTCCCTCCTTGGAGGTATTCAAAAGCAGTCTGGGCATGTCCTAGCTCTAGGTGGCCCTCCTCAAGCAGGGGGATCAGACAAAATGACCTACAGAGAGCCCTTCCAGCCTCAGCCATTCTGTGAATACCAGACATCATCTCTAAACTTCATATTATCTCCTGAAACTTCTGTGATCCCAGGGAGACTCTTATTTCTTAAGGGGAACTAGTCCATTTTTTGTCTGATTATTTAAATTCAGTAAATGGTCAAGAAATAGCTCTCCTCAGAACTAAGGATTAGTATAGACTAACAGATTGTTTAGAAAACATTGAAGTACTTTCTAGTTATGTTCTGTGCTATAAGAGGCAGATTAATATGCATTTTGTTTAAATATATATGTTTTTAAAAATGCTTTAAGAAGAATGACTTGAAGTTGCAAAGTAATTGGAAACCCTTCAACTTACATGAAGTATGTGCAGTTACTGCCACATTATTCTGACATAGGTAATGCAATCTTTCCTAAAGCAACCTAACTGGCTTCAAGAAAAGTTGATTTGGTTTTTTTACGTTTAACATATTGAATCCATTTTTTGCCTCTAGTGTTTCTACTTTAAGAGCAGAATTCATCTTGAAATGAAGGAGAAATAAGAAACACTAGGGATTTTTTACCCTTATTTTTCAGGGCATAGAGAAGTACTGGTTTTGGCCTGTCTTCAATAAAAAATCTAATATGGGAATACGGTTTTTGATTCTAGTCTTATTTTTTTTTTTAAATAGGGATGAAGGAAAAATTTAAAAGTGTGATCATTAGCATGAACAGGACCTAGGGCCTGGAAAATATTTGTATAGTGGGAGTTGGATCTCAGTGTGATCTTAGATCAGGTAGTACTTAATGACTTGGTAAAGTATCTTCCTGTATAACATTAAAGAACATTCAACTGAAAATAGTATGTGAAGAAAGAAGTATTAAGAATATTAGAAATGAAGCAGACAACTTTAATAATAAATACAATCAATCTTTGAGCAAATTACTGAGAAAAGTAGTGTGGTTTTCATCTTACAGTGTCATTTAAACCCAAACTGGATGCCTTCCTAGATGATGAATTAAATGAAACCTAAGTTAATGGGCTCCAGGCAGGGGTAAAAGAGTAAAATGTAATGAGGTCAGTCTAAATCTGAGCTCTCCTTTCAGGTTTAAACTTTATAAATTGAAACTTTCTGATATAAGTTTCTTTCTGTGGCTTTTATAAAGCCAGTTTTTCAATGGTGTTCTGTTATCTAATATTTATTTAATCTGCAATAGAAGTACAGTTCTGCAGCCATGTGCATTGCACTTTTAACTGCAAACCAGTATTTGGCATCATTAACTTGATGTTTTTTTTTTCTTATCCTTATTTTTATTGGAGGAATTTTCCTGACTATTAAATGGAAACTTTAATAGTCTGTAAAGGCATAATTGAACTCAACTGCGATTAGAGTCTTGCAAATGTAATCTGGCATTGCAGGGAATAAGCTGATTTAAATTACTGCACTTGGTTCCACTTCTTAAGACAGGGAAAAATCATTTGTGAATTCGTATTGGCACATGAAAAATGAATTGTGTAGTAGTTTCAGAGGGCTATTTATTTGAAAGTATTGTCAGCATATAATTGCATAGGGAAACCAATGTACTTATTCAGAATACTTGCAGAAACTCAAAGCAAAAATAAATACTGTTTTTATTAGAGCTGAGAGTAATGCAGAGAAAGGAAGAAATAAATGCAAGGAATGTTCTGGCTGGATACATTACAAATTTGTATTTCATTCATGAGAAATTGATAAATATGGTTACTTCTATAAATATAGAAATGTGTATATGTAAAATCTAATTAAAATTATTTATGTCAAAGGCACTTTATATATTTAACATAATTGTTTTAGATCTGAGATGAGCAAAATCAGTATGTCAATAAATATGACATAAGTGATGATTGAATTAGGTGTCAGTATTTTGGGTATATAATTTAGATGTTAATGTAGGAATGAGATTATGAAATATTTTTCTTAAGTTCTGCACTTAAAATGAAGTGGCATCCTTGTATGGGTTCTTTTGTATAGAGGACCCCACTCTGGATTTCTGCATGCACCTCCTCATGAACTTTGGAAGTCATTGAAATGCAGATTTAGGGAAAGCTTAGACATTCTTATCAACATTTCTCTTCCTACACCAGATGGCTCTTTTCAAATGATGTTAATAGTATTTTCCCTGTTTTCCATCCTTGGACTCTGCAACCAAAAGTGGTAGAGGGAGATTGCAGGTATATCTGACTAATCTGACTAAAAGAGATTTTTCCAAATGCAGCAAGCTATGGCTGTTCTTGTTGTAGTGTATACATCAAGCTTCATTTAGTGTTGTCTGATTAATTTCAAACTCATTTTCACAGTTACTTATTTTCCTAATCTGTCAGTCTCCTCTTGAAAGCTTTTCTTTTTTCATAATAGATTTTATAGTTTAGGAAGAGGTGGGGTGATTTTCATCCTTCTTTATACCTAACATTGGTCTTAAGGTCCATTCTCATTGTATCCTTGAGTTTCTGTAATTTCCATTATTTCTGTGTCTTTTAGTCTTAAAGGAAAATTTCTGTCGTATCAACACAATTACTAAAATGGTTTGACTATGTTCCTGCTTGCAGCGTTTTTTCAAGAGAATTCTGTTGTTGCAGGACAAAATGTGCATTTAAACTAGAGGTGAATTTTCTTTTTTTACAATTAAAGGAATAAACCAGGCTTTCTAAGTTTTGCAAGTTTTGATGCCTGAGTTTAACTTGTGGACATTAGAATAGTCAAGAACATGCTAATAGTCTTAAATTCCATTAAATACACTGTCTGAATAAGATAGGAAAAGCTTTTTTCCTGCAGTGAAAATCTGTGGAGTATCCATGTGTAGAAAAATACATTACCTTCTAAATAAATACATTTATATTAATTAAATTTAAGTTATCCAGCTTGAGTTAAGTGAAAATGGAAAGAGGAGACCCATACATTTTCCAATGCAGTTCTGAGTGCGAACATCAATGCAGACAGGTATGTAAGCAATCTAGAAATTTACATTTCAATGTCTCCCGAGGTCCATGAGGAGGCACATCCAGAGAATGTGTTCTCACACATGACTATCCAGAGTTGTGTGGATCTGTGGAGGAGACTATTTGGAAACTTTGTTTGTTGGTAAGTAACCCTGTTTGTATTGCGTACAAAGCAAAAATGTACGTAAAACTGAATTCAAAGAGTCATAGAATCATTTAGGTTGGAAACAACCTGTAAGTTCATCAAGTCCGACTCTTAACCTGGCACTGCTCCATTATTTTCTGATCTCTGTTAGCATCTACTGTGTGTAGATAGTGCTTTTGATTATCTTGGGGATGTTTTTTTGAACAAGTGTAAGCCAGAATCCCAGAACAGTATGGACAGATATTCTGATCCTAAAAATATTCAAAATACAAAATTGGTAGGTGTCCTTATTCTTTCTTGCCTGTGGATGTAATACCAATGGAGGAACAAGGACAGAGATAGGTTGTGGAAATAAGAGGGCAGTCTCCATGGCTATTGAATGCAAATATTTTATCACACTTCGGTAAGCAGCTCAATGCTGTTTCTTTTTTTCATTTGGGGGAGTAAGGACACAGGGAATCCTTTCAGAAATAAACATGGCCGTAAACTGAGACAGATCTTGAGAGATAAGTAATGGTTCTCCTTGAAATCAGATAGACTAATTGCACATTTGCACATACAAACTGGTTGACGCTTGTGGAATGAAAACTTCTTGTTTTTTACCAAATCTACTAAAAATTTCTCAGATGTTCTTTACAAACCCTTTTCTCGGAAAATTTCCTCTGCTATTTAATACCTAGAATCATAGAATCATTAAAGTTGGAAAAGTCCTAAGATCATCGAGTCCAGCTGTTTACCCAGTACCACCATGTTCACCGTTGAACCATGTCCCCAAGTTCCATATCCACATGCCTTCTGAATACTTCCAGGAATGGTGACTCCACCACTTCCCTGGTGGCCTGTTCCAATGTCTGACCACCCTTTCAGTGAAGGAAGCCACTTCCCAGCCACTCTGCCCCAACCTTTACTGCTGTGTGGGGTCGTTGTGACCCAAGTGCAGGACCCAGCACTACCTTGTTGAAACTCACACAATTGGCCTTGGCCCATCAGTCCGTCCTGTCCAGATCCCTCTGCAGAGCCTTCCTACCCTCCAGCAGATCAACACTCCCACCCAACTCAGTGTCATCTGCAAACTGACTGAGGAACACCACTTGTGACTTTCTGCAAGCTGGATCTAACTCCTTTCACCACCACTCTTGGGACCCAGCCATCCAGCCAGTTTTTAACCCAGCAAACAATGTACCTTTCCAATCCATAAGCAGCCATACACTTAGGTGCATAATGAATATTTTCTTAATCTGATCTAGGCTTATTTTTATTTTAAATAAAAAGACCAGATTATTTTTGATTTTTGGCAAGTGATCTGAGAAAGCACTGTTCATCTCAAGCACTTTAAAAAAGAAACAAAACCACATATATAATATGTTATGTAAGAAATATGGGCTTTAAACTCTTACAGAGTTTGGAGTGACTTGTAAAATGAGTGTAATACTTCAATGGTAGTATAATGAACTTTTTATTTTCTCATGAAATAGATACATTTAGAGAAGTAAACAAATGGAATGTTCATGTAGTTGATAGATATTTACAATTACTACTAAAAATGAATGTTGTGTCATAGATTGCATCGTGGAAGTTCTGTGCATAAATCTGAAATTTAAAATACAAATTGTTTTTTTGTTGAATTCAAAAAAATTAGTAATATTTCATCCCCTTATTATCTTTGTTTAGCTTTTGAATTGATGGTTTTAAAGACAGCCTAATTAATTATATTCTTGTATGTTAAAGCTCATAAGTACTAAATGCTGAGTTAGCTAGATAAATATTCTAGTCCATTTTGCCTTATTCTTAGGACTATATATATGTACTTTTTAATTTGCATTCCATGTTAGCTGTCAAGGGATGAAATTTAGGTTGCCTCCTGCTATTTTAGTATCTCTCACTGAATGAATGAATTACTTCTTTTTAATTCATGTGCATAAACAACAGAAGTGCAATTGTTGGTTGATCTGTATTCACCCCTCATTCTGTAAAGTAGAAAAATCCACACATACACATTGATGAAACTGGAAGTCACAAAAAATATTATAATTAACTTTTTTCCTTAAAATATCCATACTATAATATAAGAAAATCTAATATCTGCAAGAAATTGCTGTTAACAGAAAAAATAATTTTACAGAGAATTTTGTAGTTTACCCAACTTGTTGCATTTTAATTCTAAAAGTAAATGCAAGAATTTGGGCTTTCTTTCAGTACATTTCTGCCTCATGCTTTATATTGATATAATTTGTAATTATACAGGAGGTTCTGCATGTTGCAGGAGTGGAAATGCAGTTAACAGCAGCTGTTTCATTTTTGACTGTTCTGCAAGAGGAGTCGGTGTCCATTCATACATACTCCCACTCCTTCCTACACATCATTCTCCAGAACCTGGAACACAGAGATGCAGGTCAGAGCTGTACAGCTACTCTAATGACCAATGACTTCTATATGTTTTGTTTCCTTAGTGACCATACAGTACTGGGTAAAGCAGTGAGTGCAATAACTGTGACTTTGTATCTAGACTTGCATGAATGAAAAGATGACCACTTACATAATAATATTTAAATGTAATTCTGATTGAAGCAAAAAAAAACCCACTTTGACTGAAGGACTAAATCCAGAAGTTGTTACTGGGTTGGAGCTTCTCTTGAAGTACCAAAATTTTGTGGCTGAAAAATTGGAGGGAGGATGCTTGACATTTCTTCTGTGTTGATCTGTTTTTCTTAATTTCTTTGACACTAGTTTTAGAATACAAAGGAAAAAAAGGCCTTTTGTAACACTAGAAAGTTTTAGTGGACGTAAGGAAAGAATATGCTTCTAAATGAGGGGAATTAGCTTTACAAAACAAATAGGAGCATTATTAATTTTATACAGGAATTGAAAAGGTACAAGAAATGGGGACCGAATTTGCTTCTCACCTATCCTACTTCTTAGTTTGAAGTCTTGGGTGTTAATTTAGTGGCTCTTAGACACATAGCTCCTTGAAGAGATGTGTGTGAGAAGTTAGAACAAATTTTGTAAAACTGATGTCTGTTTTGTTGTATGTACAATATAACATGGATTATATAACTTTTAACCATTTCTTTGGAACAGGTGTCAGCAATGCATGGTTAGAAACTCTTCTTGCTGTAATAGAAGCTTTACCAAAAGAAACTGTCAGACATGAGGTAATAATAATCTCTCACTTATGCTAACAAAAATAAGATTAAGATTGCAAGATTGTATTTCCCTACAAGTTTTATTCACTTCTGTAAGATATGTGGCAGTTCTGTACCTGGCAAAATGGTAATGGTTGTGGAACATACTGTAAGAGAGGAATGTGCTGTTATAGAGGATCTGTGGCTGTGATTTGAACCATAAAATGCTATTTGTGCCAGTAGAGGAGTTTAATATTCTATAGTAGCACTGAATATTGAATACAGGTTTCCAATAGACTATTAACTTACATGGGCATCATTGCTGTTAGTATTAATTCCATTAAAAGGTTAATGACATCTGGGATATGTTTTCCTGGTTTTTTTTTAAGGAGAGGAATACTTTAGTTAATGCTCACAGTTCTTTTGTTCATGTTTCTCTTTTTTTTTTCATGTAGATCCTGAATCCACTTGTTTCCAAAGCACAGCTTGCTCAAACACTTCAGTCCCGTTTAGTTAGTTGTAAAATCATGGGAAAAGTAGCTAACAAATTTGAAGCCCATATGTAAGTAAACTGAAAATATATTTTCATTCCATAGTATAAACCAGTATTTCTTTGTTAATGGACAAAAATTTACTACAAGAAAAGTAGACTTGTTGCAAAAATTAAATGCTTTCTTTTTATAGATCCCTTTATCTGGGTATTAATTATTGATAAAAAATGTTCATTATGTAACTAGAATACTCAGCTATGCTTATGTTCATCAGTTCATAACTTCAATTTGTATGTTCTCCCACAGGTTTGAATGGATATGCTTTTCATGCCATTTTTGTCATATAATTTTTCTTGCTAAAAATAAGCCTAAGAGTGGATTTCTCTGCAATTTACAGGGACAAAACACAACTTCATTACCTTAGAGTTTCTTGTCATAAACAAAAGAATTCCATTCCTCACTTTTTTATTATCTAACCAAATTTAACATGTAGGTTTTTGTTTTTCCTATCCCACTTATATGGAGATATATTCAGGAACCGCTGTTGTTCCCAGATATTGTCCAGCCCTCAGATTCAGTGTCTGTGGTGGTGAAGAGGGAAGTAATGATGAAAGTAAATCTGAATAACTTACCTGCCCAAAGCAGTTGGTATGGTATGGTAGTTGATATGGTACATTCCTTGGACAGTTTATCCAGGCTTATGGTAGTAGGGCCATTTCCCCAAATGTGTTTCCCATCCAGGCAGTTGGCCACATGTGATTTTGAATTACAGAATAAATCCACTGAGGGCTACTAAATGCACAGAAACCATGTCTAGCTGAGGAAGTCCACTCTAATAATGATTGTGATCTGCCCCAAAATGTAAGAATTCAGCCTAGCTGAAAAGAAGAACAGCAGGATGATAAGACATTTAGGACTAAATTTCTTTAGATTATGTTTTTTTTGTTCAATAAAAAAGAACTAGAAGCAGCTGAAAGGAAGCTATCTACATTTTCATTTGCTATTTACACTACATTTGTTGGACATGCAAATGTTAATGAGCATGCTAGAGTAGCGTTTTTTGACAATGTTACCAAAGTCTTCAAAATCTTTTTATTCCAAATTTATAGAATTCTGTCAGAATAGCAGTCACATTTATTTATTTGAAGTTACATTCTCATGAAAATAAGTAACTTTGCAGATAGCTTGGAATCTTATGTGAGAATATAGGAGTATTAAGTAGTAGCTGTAATAGTCACACTGTCTTTTGTTGTGTTTCTTTAATATGATTCCTTGCTATTCAGAAGTAGGAAACCCCTCATTTCAGTGAACAGATAATAGCTCCTTTTCTGCACTGCAGCTACATGTTAAGAAGATGGCTGAAAATTTTCTGGGACATATTGTTCATCTGGTAGAGAGCTCTGAGTGCAGTTCAGAGGGCTGAAAAGAGACGTCAGTCCCCAGGTTTACAGTGTGGCAGACTAAGATTCATGACACACTCTTGTTCCCCTTGCAGGAGGGCTCTTGGTACAGGCCCAGGAGACATACCTGTCCTCAGGAGTAGACAATATATAAGCATATTTTCACATTCTTCTTCAGAATAGCACAATTTTTCCTTGTAAAATTTATACTGTAATTAAAAACTTTTTATTTGTATTTCATGTTAATCCCAGGTTATTTTATAGAGTATTGAGAAAGTTCTGACCTTATCATATAACATTAGTTTTTCTACCCTCTGTTCCAAAGTTCCAACAGCTAATTACAAATGTGTTTTGTTTTTTTTTTTTAGTAGCCCTTACTTCAGAGTATTCTAAAATACCAAACTTTCAAGAATTTGTAGTTTTTGAAACTTGAGGCCAAATTTTTTAGTAAGAAGTAAATTAATTTTCACTGGAATGAGTGGAGGATGTGCAGGCTGGCTTGAAAATTTGCTTGTCTGTGACTATTATTTCTCTTGAGTTTCGCAACAACATAAGAATTTATACAGAGATATTTTAAAAATACTCATGACAGCATCTTGAGCAATGAGAGGAAACACAATGACTGATACTGCCAAGTTGTAGTATGTGTTTTTACTTAAATAGAAATCAAAATTGTAATTTTATATCTGCCACTGATTTAACATGAATAATTGATCTGCTTGCATGAAGGTATTGCAGTACTCGAGCTTTTAATCTTAAATTCTTTTTCTCCTTTCTTCTCAATTACCTCTTTGGTGATACCTGCATACCAAAGATGATGTATTACAGGCATTTAATTGGGATTTGCACTTTGTTGATGTAATTCCTTATATTCTTTCAGTGGCTGTTCAAAATTATACTGAAGATGGTTATTAAATGAGGACAGCATCTCTAAGCCTATCGACTGTTTTTGTAGTTTAGAAAAAAGTAGTAGATGAAATATGAGAAAATGATAATGACAGTAAATAGTCCTTTTCCTGTTTCTTTATAGCATATATTAGCGTCCAATGTACAGTATTCTTTTATAATTGCAAATTCTCAGAAAAACAATTTACCATGTGTGATAAATTAGTTTTTTAAAAATTACCATTACAAGTAATGTATGAGTAAAATCTGAGTACTACTGAGTGGATTTTACCCATTCTTGTTCTGTATATTAATAAAAGATGTTCACATTTTTAGTATTAAAAGAGAGGTTCTTCCATTGGTGAAATCACTGTGCCAGGATGTGGAATATGAAGTTAGAACTTGCATGTGTCGGCAACTGGAACATATAGCTCGAGGAATAGGGTGAGTACAATTTGCCAAACTGAGTCTAAATGCAAAATCTTTCTCTAAAATATTTAATGGTAACCTAAATCTCCTTTTAAAATTGCTGAATTCATGCATCCTCAGTAATGAATTTGGAGTGTACAGATGTGTTCTTAGAAATTGGCTGTTGGCAGTTGGCTGTTTTCCACTTTTAGATTTTGCTTCCTCTTTTATAGTAAAACTGCTGAACCATAGAACTGACAGTTTTTTGTAAATAATGACTTAATCTATAGCTTCTTGAAATCATCTCAGTTATCCATTGATGGTATTGGGCTTATTTAAAAATGGAAGAGGATTATGGCAAGTATTAGCAGTTTCTAATAATTACTGTGCAGTTTTTTGAGAAAAGATGCTAAATTGGTTTTGTAAGCAAATTTCAGTTCAGTATCAACTTTTACTCTAAGCTTAAAGACCTTCAATATTCACATATAGGAATGGAAAAAGTCTGGAACTTTTATTTTAATAAAGAACATGTTATGGTAATAATGAACATGTTAACTACCCACACGGAATTGGTCTCTGAGTAAAAAAATATTTGAAAATTAGAGGTCTGTACACCTGTTACTGTGTCAGGGAGTAAAAAAAGCAGTAACTTCTTGCACAGACTTGAAGAAGTTATCAAGAAGGTTCCCTACCCTGTGTTAGACAGCAGGCCTAGATTAGACCTTTAGTTGTCCCTCTGTTTATTAAAATTGTAAATGCATGAGAAAGTTCAAGGATGAGGATGAAACTGAAATGTAATTTGAAAGATATGGCAAGTATGTACTTCAGTCTGTTAGTACAGGTGTTTGCGAAAAGGATGCCTTTCTGTGGCTGTGGAATGATTTTTTTTTTGATGGAGAACTACATTGTGACTTAGATTCTGAGTTATTAAAAAAAACCCACCAGAAAAAAAAAAAACAAAACAAAACACCAGAAATTCCTGAAGCAATATGATTTACTTTTCAGCCATGGACTACTGGAAAAGTGTCTATTCGGACTGTTTTAGCTTACTCAGTTATAGGGAATTCACGGCAAGAACTAAGCTTTGCTGTCATGTGCTTAATTTGACTTTGTTTTAGTAAGGTCATGCAGGTTAGTAATTTCTAGATTCCTAGAAAAACTTGGTTTTATTGTATACAAAATAATCTTATATATATGCATTAGGCACCTCTTCTGCAAGGTCCTTGTCCTGCAGAAGTTCAGAGGATGTTATGACTCATCTCAGTAAAGCTGCTCATTTGTTTTTGTATGTATTCTCTTTTGTATCAAAATGTAGGTTAGCATGTTAAATCATTCTAACATTTGCCATGTTGAATGGCTTTGAATATAAAAGAACTCGTGATTACAGAAAAGAAAGATAATATTTGTCAATATTGTTGATATTTGTAAAACAAGAAATTTAACATGCATTTTACTAAACTGAATTACTGAATAATTTGAACTTGCATTTCTTTTTACCGTATTCATGGGTCTCATGTATCTTTATATATCACAAAATTCTGTTTAATGAGAGATTAAAGATCAGAGAAAGAGAGGGTTCTGTTTATTTTCTGGGAGTAACCTGGTGTTTTTATTCCATAACTACTGAGTTTCGAAGGGCAAGATGGTTCTACCTGTCATATTAGTTTGAGGATTTTTGATACCACCAAAATGGAAATCCACAGAAACATATTTGCAATTTTTAAAAAATTTCTTCCTCTTCTCCCCCCTATTTCTGGGTTTTGATTTAGGATGTCATACCCTTTTCTGCCATGACCATTCTTAGGCTGTATATTTTTGTCTCTGTCAGTCACCTTTGTTCCTCTTTTCTCATTTGTTCTTCCTCAATCCCATGAGATTTTTTTGGTGTCTTTTTTGAGATGCTGTCTCCGTTTCCACAGGTTCCTCTAACTTTCTCAGTTAACCTCTGTTTTAGCCAGTCTTAAAGTGGTGGGTTTGATAGGGGCAAATACTTTGTTATCAATTAGTGGTTGGTCCTGTGTATTTTAATTTGATTCTTTCTTCACCAGCTTTTATTTTTACCATGGATGTATAGACTGTTCTCTCTCTGAGGTTTTTGTCTGATCCCGTCCCAGTGCTTTAGATGCTTTAGTCTCAGAAGAAATTGTGAACATTCAGTATTTTCAGTATGAAAGCTATTTCAGTGTTTCATGTGGAGGCTGAATAAGTAGTAGGTAAATAAAGACAATTAACTAAACAGAAATTAGTATTGTTTAGGTAAATGTTGAAGGTATAATGTGACAACAGTCCCAATTATTTTTACTAGTTAGTGATATTACCACTAAATGATACATCATTTTATTGTAATTTTATTTGAACGTTTTAATCATTTGTTTCGAAGAATACTGTTAAGCTACCGCTTGATTTGCTTGTAATAGTAATAAACTCTGTAAGGTGCAAATCACTTCGGTGATGATTATAAACATTTGAAAGTGTTATTGTTCCTATTGATTTACAAAAGGGACAGCTGTTACTTCTTTAGTCGGATTGGAAGGGATGTTTTGGGCATTTTTATTTCAGCATCCTGGAGTTGTAATCAGTTCAGTATTGAAAACTGTGATTGAAAGATCGAAATGATGGTCTAAACTCTATGTACTTGGTTGCTCAAAGTGTCGTATGTAGTTTCATTTTTGTCATCTTGGTTAATGCTCGTGCAGCGTAACTTTATCAGAGTGTTTCCCTGTAGTTTTATGTCTTGGGCAGTACAAATGTTGAGAGCCAGATCCCTTGCTATTAAAAGTTGCTGAGGTCCCATTCTTGAGGTGTCGTGCTTCAAGTCCTTTCACTAATTGACAAGCAGACCAAGAGCTTGTCTGTGAGAGCAGGACAAGGTGGCCGTCTTAACTCAAATGCAGACAAACACTGGAACTTGACTACCATAAATAAAAAAATGAGCATGACAGAAAAAAGCCCAGTGAAAACAGTGGATATGTCTTCCTTGTTCTTGGTAGTAGGGCTATACTAGAAAAAATTTTTCTAGTCTCTTAGAGCAACCAAGAATCAGTTATACGCTGGGACATGGAAAATTATGCTGCTTAGTAGCTTTTACAGAAGCTATACTTTTACTCCAAGAAGCAAATCTCTTTTCATCTTCTTAATGCCAAGAACAAATTTTTCTGTGTCAAGAATATTTCACTTCTCCTCCCTGACCTCTCTGATTAAATTTTGATTTCTAAGACAGTCCCTAATACAACAATCTGCTGCCACTTCACTGATTCCAGTTCACAGGACTATCACACACAGAGGCAATACCAGTAATTACCAAGGTAAAAAAAGGCAAGCAGAACTCTTTCTCATCTTTGAAGTATAAGATTTCCAGACACTTCAGTCCAACATGGCTTATACTTAGTAATTTTTGGCTTTAGACCATCATATTGAGCATATTTGGTCAGGAGAGTTTTCTTAGTGAAGTACCTGTGCTCCTTTGATTTTTTTTTCAGACTACATTTTCTCTCATTTATTTTGAGCTAATTTGAATGCTTTTTTAGTGATAAAGTTTTGCATGTTAAATTTACAGGTTTCTTTGGCTGGCAAAGAAAAAAGTCCTGAGATTGACTGGAGGTTTTTGTATAATTTTCTTTTCCTTAGAGCTTTGTCAACTTTTTCTTCTTGACTCTCCAAAAAATAGCTAAATGAGTATTTCAAGAAAGAATTCTGTTTTGCTGTAGAATATTATTTTACTGTAAGTTTTCTTTTGACTCCTTGCCTCACGTTGCAGGACAGAACTAACAAAAACTGTGGTGCTTCCTGAATTAGTAGAACTGGCAAGAGATGAGGGCAGCAGTGTGCGCCTCGCAGCTTTTGAGACATTAGTGAATCTACTTGATATGTTTGATGCAGGTAAGAATTTAATTTAGGCTCACTAGCCAAGTTCTTAGTGCTTAGTGCATCTTATAATTGTATTGTTCTGTCTGTGTTTTTCAGACATTTCTAATTCGATTTTTTTATTGTTTTATCCTTTATATTTCCTTATATTTCATGTCTTGCCGTGCTTTATACATAGAAAATTTTAAGGGAGGTGAACTAGTTGTTAATAAAATCAGTTATTGTATTCTAAGTTTCTAATGTAATGTGGCTAAATGGAATGAGTAAAATTACTGCATAAATTACAGGAATATTAGGTTCCTTGTATTTAATTAATTTAATTAATTTAATACTATCAATACACAATACAAAATGTTAGCTCAAAAAATATTTACTGTGTGGGAAGTTGGTATGAATTACTACAATACGTTGTTGCATTTTAAACCATATGAAGTAGTAGATAAAGAAAAAATAAGATAGTTTTGGGGAGAATACCATAAATGGACTTTTTGCAGTTAGTGTTTATATCAGTAAGTATAATAGTAGGCTTATTTTCAAATAATTGAGCCTCTGGGTTGATGCTGTCAAGTTTGTGCTTCTCTTCACACTTCTCAGTCTTCTCTCCTCCTCGCCCACCCCTGATTGCTCTAACTACTGCTCTAAGCTATTGTAAAAAGCTTAGAGAAAGCAATCAGGGGTTATTTACAGGTTTTTAAGGAATGTGTTTCTAGAAATTTGGGTTGTGTGGTTTTTGTTTTCGTGGCTGAACTAGAAAATGAACATTTTTGAAAGTAGATGACCCAAAATTATGTCCAAGGGTTTCTTTCCCACAATATCAAAATATTTCTTCTACTTTGTTCAGCCATAATTATTTGATGAATTTTGTTATTGATATAGCATTAGAAAATCCTAATCCCTTTAAAACTTGAACATTTTAATGCAATTATTTTATTTAAATAAGTGAAAATGCATAAATTTCTTAACTAATTACATAAGTTCATCTCTGAACTTATAAGTGTTGACAAATGGATAACTTTGAAAATTTCTTTTATTTTTCAGATGACAGGAGTCAAACTGTTCTCCCATTAGTGAAATCATTCTGTGAAAAATCCTTCAAAGCAGATGAATCTATCCTAGTTTCTTTATCTTTCCATTTAGGGAAACTGTGTAATGGATTATATGGTATGATTTAATTTCTTTTTAAAAAACCTTGAAAATGGGGGAATATTGGAGAATTTAAACCCCTTGAAAAATATACAGATTTGAGTGTATCCAGTGAAATGGCAGTTAGTAAAGGAAATGTGGAAGTAAAAGTTTGACATCATATGTTGCATAAATACCAGATTTCGGAAATTTCCTCTTTGGGTGATCATCTGCTTATTGTTTGTTGTTGTTTTTGTTTTCTTTACATACGATCAGAGATGGAAACATGGTGGTTTATGTTTACTGGTTTGACTGATTTATTTGGGTGTTCTGGAGCTTATGATTTGGATGACTGAATTTTTGAAAATAGAGACATTTGAAAACCGTATGATGTTAATTTTGTGTGTGCACTTGATCTCCTTTTTAAAACACGGTACAGACTGTGGCCCATAAGGAACTTCAGAGGAGAAAGGAGACCTAATGGCATATGGATTTCCCAGCTGCAGCTGAGGCTAAATCTGCACCCATAATTTTTGTGCCCATAATTTACGCTCAAATTTTCACTTGAGCACAACAGATCTTTCCTTGATAATTCTGCCCACCGTATTTTACATGTGGGGGGACAGCAGAGAATCATAGGTTTACATTATAATCATAGGTTTACATTATAATTTCCCCTTAGACTCTTTAAAACCTTTGATCTTTCTTACAGTATTTGAAATAATCATTCATGATCAAAAGTGACCATTGCTTCACTACAAATTACTTGAAATGGCTGTTCCACAGTGTCAAACTGTTATTTCCAGAAACAGAGAGTTAGGACAGTTCATCCTGTATTTATCATGTCTTTCCAGTCTTCTTTTCTGTAGGTTAAATGACTTTAATTGCTATCTCTCTTCACCTCTGAACTCTGTCTGGCAAGTTTGTGTTTTTCTTGAAGTGTTATGCCTTGGGACAGCTGAACAAAGTGAAAGGGTTACTTCATGTATCTTGCAAGATGCATTGCTGTTTACATTTTTCAGTATGAAAAACTGCCTTTTTTGTTTTTTTAATAAATCTAACAGCTAGTTAGTCTTTCTCTTTCCTGGCCCTATGCAGGTGATGCAGATCAGGCTAAACGTGGTACCTTACTGCTGTCCTAATGAAATTATATAAGGGCCTATGTCCAGTTCCTGAAGATCTTTTTAAACTCTGTGTTCTGAAGAATAAGCGGTCTCGGTCCTTGGTTACTGTTATCAAGATACAGAATAAGCCCAACATCCAAAAAATAAACAGAAATACCTACCAGAACTAGGTAGACCTTTATACAGTTGCCTATATTGTCAGTGATCTATGGGTAACTTTCTCTTAGTTGTTTTTCCAAGCAGTTTTGGAGCGCCTTTGTAGTTCTTAATCTTTTCTTCCCATTCCCTTATTTTGCTTGTGAAAAACATGATCTTTGCTGTCTTTTTCCAAATTTGCCTTTTGCCATGTTGGCTACTGCTGGTTTTTCGTTTTCTTTTTGGTATTTAGAAGTAGATTTTTCAAATTTTTTTGTGTGTGTTTTCAATTTTTTCAAAAATTGAAAGTAACCTGCTTATCTGTAATGATATGGCTTGTCCTTCCCCTCTCCAGCTATTAAATGTCAGTACTACTTCAGCCCTTTTCTGTTCTGTTACTTGACGTATTTAAGTTTTCAGCAGCCTGTACTTAAATACTTGTGAATGCTGGAAGGAAGCCCATCTGACTCTGCACATTTTGAAAATCTTTCATATTTAAGGATTCACTGATCTGTTCCTTCTCTACTTAAATCTTGAATCTTTGTCACAGTTATTAATTGTACGGAGATTGATGGTACTGGTGAAATTTCAGAAAGAAAATAAAAGCTTTAAGCATTTCAGCCTTCTTGGTACCAATCACTGATAGCTTTCTTCTCTCTCTTGAGCAGAAAATTGAGCCTGTCCTTGATTAGTCTCTTGTTACTAATGCACTTGTAATTTTTTCATTTTTCTTGATAGTTGCATTCCAGTTTGTTCTGAGTACTTTGTGTACTGATCATACTCTGCTAGGCTCAAGATGGTGGGAGAAGGGATAAAATTGACATATTTGATAGATTTTTAAATGAGATTTGTTTTGGGGACATTATTAATAGCATTTGTAATGAGGAAAGTTTGTTGTTTTGTTTTGTTTTGTTTCATTTTGTTTTGTTTTTTTGAGGCATTTTTACTCCTGAACAGCACTTACGGTTTTTGGAATTTTATAAGAAACTTTCCACACTGGGTTTACAGCAGGAGAATGGACACAATGATAATCAACTACAACTTCAAACTCTGGAACAGGAAAAGAAGTATATTTCAGTGAGGAAGAACTGTGCTTACAATTTCCCAGTAAGTAACATTAAGTTAAGGGTAAATAACTTGTGTCATGCATATAGTTTACTAAATAGGACTGCATGAGTGATAGAGAAGTTATTCTCGAATTGTTCATTGTTATCTAGACTCTAGCTCTCTCCTACACAGTTCAAGTTAATAAGTTTGTCCAAAACAGTTACCTGGAAAGATTACTCTTTGCAATGCCTCAGAAAGTTATTGGCAAGTTTTGACTGAGCAAATGCTGTTCTAAGAGGTTACTTTTTCTTGTTGTTTCCTACACATTTTCTCCAAACTCTGAGCACAAAGGCTTCAAGAAAATGGCTATGAAACAGTCCCCAGTTTCAAACGACCCAAAGCTACAGTTTTGTGTTCACTGTGTGTCTTGTCATTCCAGAGAGTTGAAGATTGAATCTGAATGGTTAGATTCATGTTTTAGTCATGTTCCTGCCTGAGTACAGGAAGTGTTTTCAATTTTATGTGAGGTCTTTAAATATACCAGTCATGTTTCTGTAAATCTGTTTTGTGTTTTGACATTCTGCATTTGTATTCAAATAAAATATGCTTGCACCAAGAGCCAGTAGACAGCTATTTTTATTCCACCTTTTAAAGACAAGCAGTCTGTGCTTATTTGAGCAAAACCAAGGTATATACACACACAATCATGTTGCAATTCACATTCTTGCTTTGTTGCTTGCTAAAATGTTCTGTGTTTTTGAAGTAACCAGTTGCAGCTTTCACTAGTGTACAGAAACATTAACAATATTTATAAAACTAAGATTTTATATCTCACGGTTTTAGTCTATGTTGTAAGAAAAAAGGCTGCAGCATGTCTGGAAGATAATATAAATTCAGTTTAGTTTTCAACTCCAGATTTTGTCTGATGCCTGTGTTTTAACAAGGCCATCAAAAACTCCACACTTACTACTTAAAATAACAACCTGTTTTCTCTCAAGTTCATCTGATAATCTCTGGTAGTGTAGTCCTTCAGCTGTATAGTTAATAAAGGACATTATCTTTCCACAGGCCATGATTGTTTTTGTGGATCCAAAGAACTTCCATTTAGAACTATATTCTATATTCTTCTGCCTTTGTCATGACCCTGAAGTTCCTGTCAGATATACTATGGCCATAAGCTTCTTTGAAGTAAGTCCACAGTGGTTCTTTGTTACTACTTTGGTGTTTTTATTTTATTTTGTTTTCTTCTTTAAGTTTACACTTTACTGGTGTATGCTGGTTTTCTGTGAGGGATATTTAAGTTAAATGCTCAATTTAATATGAAAATACTTGGAAATTTTTGCAGATGTAAAAGCATATATGCTCTTATAATTCCATTCAGTTTATGTAAATTCTACTCAGTTATTTTCATAAAAGTTAAAAAATGTACAAATGCATAGGTGATATTAGCTATATGGAGTGAATTCCAGAAATTAAGATACTATTGCCTGAATATAGAAACCCATACAGGGAGATCTTCAAGGTTTTCAAAGTCTTGTACTGAGAATCCTTGTGTTTCAGTACTTGAGCTTGGCTTTTATCCCATTTTGTTGCTGGGGAAATTGGTAAATCAAGCAGTTTGCAGAAAACATTTAAGAAACTAGTAGAGGCACAAATGGCTTTATTTCCACCATCGTAAGAATGGATGGATTTCCAGTTCTCGTTACCTGTTGATACCTTCTTTTAATGAATGATAATCCAACATAATTGTTGCAATTGTAAAATTAACATCTAATTCTACATAATATTTTGTGTTAGATGTATAACACTGTTAAAGTACTGCCTGAATATAAGCAAAGTATTTTAGCTCATTTAAAAAAACCTGCAAAATTATACTGTGGTCTGAATGTACGTTTAGTTCTCGTTGATTTAATTTTAACAACATAACTAGGCAACCACGTGACAGCCAAAAATGAGTAGTTTATGGCATTCACTGCTAGGTGGGTTATTTAAAAAAAAAAATGAAGTCACTGTAGCCATTTCCTTAAAGCTTCATCTTGATTGGAAGTAAACTTTTATTTTCACTTGGCTTATGTAAATAAAAAAAAAAATTAAAAATCATCATCTAAATATTCCTTACGGCAAAAAATCTCATTTCTCAAGTTTGTCTTATGTTTGCTATAAAACCTTTTTAACAGTGTGGAGATGGACTGTTAGTGTTTTTTAGAAATTTACATGAGACTTGTGAGTCACAGTCAAAAACTCCAAAGAAGTAAGGAGTAAAAACTTCAGAAGGAAAGGTTGAGGAAACCTAAATCCAGGCTAAGCCAATTTTTACATTTAATCTTTTGTGAATTATATGGCAGGTTGACTTTAACTCTCCTGAGGTGCATGACGTACAACGTTTGAATATTCCATAAGGAATTTTTCTAGCCTTGCAGTACAGCCTTAAACATTTCTGGTAAATGTGAAATAGAGTTAATTCTAAAAGCATGTTTCATAGTTAGATAATAGACCTGTTTCTTGACTCATATTCTTTGTATAAGTGTATTTTTAATGTGATCAGTGGGAAAGCACACAACTTTAGGAGGCTGATATTAAACAAATTTTTCTGCATCCCTTCTTCATGCTTGCTGCAAAGTAAATATGTGTTGTTCTGCCATGAAACTAAAGAATGTTTCACCTTGCTATCTTACTGTCATTTTTTAGGTTGCTAAGCTTTTAAATTCTGATGTGTATACAATACATAAAGAACTGGTTACGCTTTTACAGGATGAGTCACTGGAGGTAATACATTTTTGTTGGAACTTCCTTTTCCTTGTTACATTGAGGCAGATTATTTCATGTTTAATAACTCTGCTGTAAGACAGTAGAGTAACAATTTGAAATGATCAACAGCTTTTACTTTTGTTTCACAGATGCTGTATAAAGATGACAGCCTTCTGTGAATAAAAAGGAGGAAAATAGGGAGGTGTTTGAATTTAGTAGACCCACACTGAATTTATTAGCTTTTAAAATATTAATTCTGAATAGTTTTAATTGCTGTATTATTTATTACCTTGCAAATGCTGGAAAGTTTTGGGTTTGATACTATATTATACTATATTATAATATACTATATTATAATAATAGGTGATAGCATTCAAGGTTTTTGCTTTGTTTTATTTTCATTCTCCAGCAGAAAAGGAGATGAAGAAAGTTGTGTGTGGTTCAAAGATCAAGATTTACAGAAAGAGTTTTGATCCAAGGCAACCTGCATAAATGAATCACTTAGCTATATTGCAGTCAACATAGTGAGATTTTTTAGATTGAAAAAAGAAAAATATTTATGTTTGAGAAAAAAAGCACCATTTCCTCTTCTACCAGTTACTCCAGTACTTGATCTTTTTTGTTTTCTATGAGGATCTTTGCATATGGCATGGAAAAATGAGTTCTGTATTCAGGTGCTCCTTTTCCTTTCAGTATCTTTTGTCAGATGTTTTCAAGGAAATTACAATTGTTGATAGAACATCTACTTACAATTTACGAAATTCTGACCCATATTAGAATATTTCTCAAGTTGAACACCTGAAAGTTGAGACTTAGAAGCAGCTGGTGATTTTGAAAAATTCCTTGTTTTGATCCCTGAATGTTTATTATATGAATAATATCAAATATTTTGAACTTTATCTTATATCCGTTATGAATTGTTGCAAAGAATGTTTAGTTACATACTTTTCTAGTCGAGCTTCAAGTCTCACAACATTTGAAAGGAGGGTTAGTCTATTAATGTAAGCTATGTATTCTATTTTTTCTATCAACTGCATTTTTTCTTAACACAGGAAAAAAGACTTTTAAGATGCAGCTGACAAACATAAAAAAGCATGTTTTTGTTTGTTGTGGCTCTTTGCTGCTGAAATATCGATCTTTGTCAAGGATTAATCTTCATTTTAAAATACTGTATGCTGTGGATAGTTTAGAAAACATTGTCTGATCACATAAACCAAAACTGAGACCTGTAGTACTTATATTACTTACTATATTAAAATACCAGTTGTAAATCTCAGTCCTCATCAATGCAACTCCAGTGCTTCTCCTTTTTTTTTTTTTTTCTCAACATGAGAGAGCAGTAACATAAGAGATGTCAGCAGGGATACGGTGGTGAGAATTAAAAATGGATTCGGGTTAATTTACAGACCTCTTTCATGCAGCCTTTCTTTAAATAGGTGTTAGATGCCCTAGTAGGTCACCTTCCTGAAATCCTTGAACTAATGGCTAACAGAGGAGAAAACAATGGATCAGAAAGCAAGGTGGGTATTCTCATGGTGTTTTTTTTTAAATTTCCTTTCTAAATGAAGGTAGTAGCAAAGTTTGGACACATTTGATATTAAATGGCTTTCATGATTCGTTTCTGCTTTGGAGAAATAAGAAGCTTCTGTTGTTTTTTGGTTGGTTTTTTTTTTTTTCTGATTGGTGACTTTATAAACTGTACAATAAAACCAGGGTTTTGAAAGATTAGACTCAATATAAAAATGAAGAGTTTATCCATGCTCTTTTTTCTGATTAACAACAGTTCAGTGAAAACAAAACTTGGTTTCATGCTAAAGGAGTGATAGCTAACACCGAATTTCAAATCCTTTTTATATTGATGTGTCAACTGCCCATGGTTGCCATTTTCAGACACAGCTTCTGCTAGAAGGAAATCTATTTCCTGAAGCAAAGGCATTGAATTAGGATTTAAGAGATCTGTATTCAGCTCCCAACTTTGCTAATTTAATCGCATATGGCTTTGGATGATGGTTTATTCCATGGCTCCTCACCTGTTAGATGGAAAAGATAATTTCTTGCTTCAAGATGCTGTTTTGAGCATACTTCCTAAACATATGGATAAATTCAGATATTGCTACAGTACAAGAACTGAATAAATTTATTTTCTTGTTCTGTATGAACAGAAGTTGGGAGTGTAGTTTAAGATTTGAATTTGTCAGACGTTTACAACTGTAGATACATCTGACATACAGCAAATGCAATGTCAAGTGTGGCAATCTATTGCATTTTTCTTAGTGCTAAAGAGAATTTAGCTTTGCTACTATAAATTATTTGCCTCCTGCTGAGAAAAGCTGTATAATTCCTACTAAAATTAACTAGGGAAGTGAAACAATAACTTCAAAGATTAAGAGGATAGAAGAAAAATGGGTTTAATTTGGTTTGAGAAAGAGAAGACTGAGGATAGTTGGTGTAAGGGTCTTCATATCTGTAAAAGGGTATTACAAAGAGAACAGTGTTTAGTTTTACTTTGTCAGGAGAAGGGGTTGGAGATGAAAATGTGTTAAGTACTGCAATAGCTTTTGGACTAGTAAAGTGGAATTTACTGCTTAAACCTTCATTAAATTTCATTACTTTTTTTTAAGAACAAGTTAGACTAGTATCTACTGGAAATGGTCACAGTTGATCCTGTCTGAGCAGAAGAATTAATTGACCCCTTAAAATCTCTTCCCTTCTTAAATTGTTGTGATGTGCTTTTTAAGCATAGTAACATGACACAAAGCTAGACAATGTAAAATTAATGTTTGTATTTCTGTTTCTAGTTACTGTCCATTCCTGACTTGATTCCTGCATTAACAACAGCAGAACAGAGAGCAGCGACTTCTTTAAAATGGAGAACACATGAGAAGTTACTACAAAAATATGCATGTCTCCCTCATATCATATCAAGTGATCAGATTTATTACCGTTTCCTTCACAGAATGTTGACAATCATTTTGACAAATGTGAGCCCACCTGTCACGTTCTCATTGTTTTTTGTTTATGCTAGTTAAAGCAATGACCACCAGATATTTGCTATGTGTAATATTTTATATGTTATGTTGATCTTAAAGTACTGTTTTTTGTTGTGTATGGTTTATCAAGCTATGTTTTTTTAATTAAAGTCTGAATTTGCTCTGAAAACTTCCCGCCATCTGAGGAGCAAAATTTGGACTGACAGTTTGTCATGGTTTGCCTCCTACCCAAGCCTTTTTTCCTTTCATTGTGTTCATTATCAGTTCTTTTCTAGTTAAATGCAGACTTTTTCCTCTGAGATATACCTTCTTTATCCTGATTCCATACATTTCTTTACATTGAGTTTGTTCTTTATGAAAGAACACTGTATTCCTAAAATAAATGGTCATTTAGAGCTACTAGTCTGAAATTTTACTGACTTAATTCAGGAATAAAGCTGTTGTTTTATTTTCTGACACCTGCAATACAGAAGGTGCCATGAAACATGGAATACTTTAAGTTGCTTATGAAATAGTTGAATATACAACTTGGGCAGAAGGAATAAAGAAGTGTCTCATGAATTGGCCAAACTTCCTTATTCCCCTGACATTATGAGAATTATTTCGAAATCTATAAAGTTAGGCTACTTTTTAGCTTTTTTCTTTTACTTCTAGAATTTTTATATGTTTTTAGTCATATTCTTTCAGATAGGTTTAATTGTGTTCCCTTTATTTCTTTCAAGAATGTCCTGCCAGTCCAAAAAGCAGCTGCTCGAACTCTCTGCATTTATTTGCGTTACAATCGCAAACAAGAACAGAGACATGAGGTTATTCAGAAACTGATTGAACGTAAGATAATTTTTCCTTGATTGCTTGGAGATGCAAGTTAGTTTTGACTGCAGATCTATTTAGAGTTATATTTATTCAGTGTAATTTTCTTCCATCATTGGAGGGATTACACTTGGAAGACATTCAGTTGCTCATACTATCACCAGGCAAAATGTACTGTGCATGTGTGAGGACTGTATCTGAAGCTAATGTAAAGGGATTGGGAAAGAGGCAGTGTAGGAAATTGATAATATGCTAAGATCCCTCCAACCTACTTCTTGTACCCAGAATTGCTAAGCTGTAGGTGCAGCAACATACAAAGAAGAATTCCTCTGTAGAAATAAAATTGTCTCGAGGCTTCAGCATAAGAAGTGCTGAATAAATCTCAGAAATTAATGTATTAATCAATTAGTCACCTTGACTTTTTGGTGTATGCTATGTGTTTTAAAGATAGGTTAGAAGTTTTAACAGTTACCATTAGCATTCCTTAATGCTAGTAGTAATTTTGATATACCTGTGACATGGTTTGAAAGGCATACAGGTCTTTGTTCAACACAGTAGCTAGTTCAGTTGCTATTTTTGCTTTTTCAAGTGCTCACTGACAGAAATGGTCATTGAATTCAGAATGTTAGTTTTTCACTAAAAGGAAGAGTTGAGATAGGCTGAGAAGTTATGCCTTTTGATGTGCATCTTTGTTATCTTCAAGTCAAAGGTCAACCTGTGAAATGTTTTCTATCTGACATTGAAAACTTGATAGATAATATCTGTGGATTTTTATTTTTCAGAACTGGGCCAAGGAAAAAGTTATTGGAACAGACTTCGGTTTTTAGATACTTGTGAATTCATTATGGAACTGTTTTCAAAATCATTCTTCTGTAAATACTTCTTTCTACCTGTGCTTGAACTTACACACGATCCAGTGGCAAATGTGAGGTATGAAGAATATGTAGCAGTGTACAGGAAAAAAAGCTTTAAATAATATATTAAGAAATATTGTTAGAGGTTTTATGACTTTTTTAAATAATGGGACTTGAATAAAAAAGTAAAGAGCCTTCAGGATGATCAGTATTAAAGGTGTAGGGGAGTATGGGAATGGTGTTAGAAAACCACAGAAGCAGGTCAGTCTGAGTGTTTGGGGACTGATCAAAAGCCTTAGGGTTTGGGAGTGAAGGGAACAATGAGGCAGAGGAGCCAGCGATAGATGAAAAGATTCATGGGTGTAGGGGAGAGTATAATTCAGTCTCCATTATTTTCCATGCATTTCACTGTCACTACATGTAAAGTGAAACACTCAAGGAATTCCTTCAGTGGTGTGAGCTTAACAAGTTATAACAGGTTTTACCTTATGTAAAAGTGTATCTACTTCATCTAATAATAATGCACAGATTTACATAAGCATAATTTGCACATACATGTGTGTGTTCAGTAAGCTTCACTGCATACTGTGTACTACTGAGTGAACTGTTTAAATAGACACTCTTTTAGTAACTACCACATCTCAACTCAGCAGGATATCAAAAACTAAGCCATTTTTTGCATATAGCTTAACATTCATGTCTCATGTCATTAAGTTATTAAAACAATAAACTAAATTTGTATATAATCTGAAGTAGCTTAGTGCTTTTAACAAATATTTTAATTAAAAGCTCTATTGATACAATATTAAAATTTAATAGAAACTTGAACCAACTTGCAGTCCCTTAGCTGGCATTAAAATTCATTTTTTCATAAGTATTTTCTGGATTGTTCTCTAACTCCTTTTACAAAAGGAATGCACTGTCTTCAGTGGAGTGAAGTTTAGAGGTTAGACATAGTTGTTAGCTGATGGTTTTAAAACAAACTTAGGGAGATATTATTCTGACTTTCTACAGTGTGGTGTAAATGTGTAGTGGCAAATGGTGAAAGTTAAAATGGAGGGTATAAAAATGGTAATATGAATTCATATGAGAAATTTTTTTGAATGTTTATAATCACAAAGTTACCATCTCTGGCACAGGAATGTTTCTGATCAGAAGGCAGTGGACTCTAAGAACAACAGAGCATACTGCCACGTATATTTCTTGTACCAGCTCCCTCAGTACCCTCAGGTGGATTCCGAATGGTCCCATGGACTTGTGTGTGTCTAAGTGGTGTAGCAGGTCACTGGCCATTTCCCTTTGGATTATGGGGATTTCATTCTGCTTCCCATTCCTATCTTCCAGCTTAGGGGGTTGAGTTCCCCGAGGACAATTTCAGTCCTCAGTACAAGACAGTCATAGTTAAATTCACCTAAGTACTTTATGCCATACAGATTGAAAGCAGGCAAAGCTGAGCTTCGCAGGGGCACTCTAGTGATAAAAATGTATCCACAGTGTCTGTGAGCAGCAAGATATTAAGTTTGAAGTTTCTCTTCTTTGTTATTTTATATGAATAATTTTTCTCTCTGAATTTACTGCATTTAAAATTGCTTCCTCAGTCAGTAGAGCAGCTTACAGCTTCTTACCCACAGTGTCCACCCCTTCCATTGCCTTGAGGACTGCTTTTTGGGCCTTTTTCTAGGCTGATTAAACTCACTAAGCCATCAGAAAACTCTTCAGTTTTTCTACCCTCTCCCTCAAGTAAATTAGTCTCCTGTTAGGTTAGTCAGTTGAGTGTTGGACTGACTGAGCTGATGAAAGGTCCAGTCAGTAGCAGAGCCAGGACAAGCAGAGGCAACTTCTAGATAGAAACAGAAAGATAAGGTAGTGGAAGGAAGGGCTGTCTCTTCTTAGGACCCAGTAAATAGTTAAATCCTTTTAATCTTTCCAATACATCTTCATTCTTGCAGTTGTATGGAATTGCAGTAACATGATTTTTGGTGCAACTCCTTTGTCACAATGGACCAGATTTGCAGGATATTTAGATAACTGATTAAGTTAGGTCTGTAGAAATCCAGAGGAAATTTAGGGAATCCAGAGGTCTGCTTATTTTTCCAGATTAAAAAAAAACAAAACAAAGACATGTTTATGGACTTCAAGATAGAGGACTGTAGTCCTGGTCTATGGCGAAGTTTTTGAAAATGTTGCAGTATGTCTGGAAACAACACATAAGCAACAATCACTTCTGAAAAATAAGAGCTATTACCTTAATTATTTTGTGTCAAGTGTAAGCATGCAATACATTGAGAAATCAATAATGTTTATTAAACATCTGCATTAAAAAGAGAATATTTGCCTTTTTTTTTTTTTGGTAGAATGAAGCTATGCTATTTGTTGCCAAAAGTTAAATCTACTCTGAAGATTCCCACTGATAAACATTTACTTCAGCAGTTGGAATTATGTATAAGGAAACTTTTGTGTCAAGAGAAAGACAAAGATGTGTTGACCATTGTGAAACGAGTAAGCATTTTTCTTTTTTAGCAGTGTTTTGTCTTTAGGGTAATCATTAAAAGTTAGGATGACTAAAGTTATGCTCTTTGTTGATTTTTTTAACATAAGAACAGGAGATTAAAAAATTTCACTGTCTATGATGAAATTTTGAACAATTAAAAAGAAGATGTAGTATAGTGCCTTCTGTGAAATTTAGTAGCATTGATGTTTCCTTGGTTACTTATATTGCAGTTATTTTCTAGTAACTGAGATTCAATATTTTGGCTCAATGACCATTTATGAAAAAATAGCAGATGACTAGAGACAGGATTAAATGTTGATCCTAGTAAAACTGATTGGGTCTTTGAGATAGTGATATCTTGTTAATCTGTGTTATACAATATACAGATAAAGCATTGCAGAATTTTGAAATGTTACAAATGTCTTTGTAATGTGAATATTCAAAAAAGTGCATCTTTAAGGAATGCCCATACATTCAAATTTAGAAACCATGAAGTGAAATAGCTAAAGTAGGTGGCTTCCTTACAGGGCCAATCTGCAGCAGAGGTTGGATGAACACCTGCATGGAGCCTTCTGAGTTATTCACAGATTCCTGAGTTGTTCTTTTTCAGTCTAGGTTCCTAAGCTTGTGCTCTAGCCATTCTTGCTTCAGTGCTTGAGTGTATTTTGAGTTCCATGTAGATATTCTATGATTTTATTCATTTTGAGTCTCAGCAGGACTCTGAGAATACTCTCTGACAGTTTTTAACTGCATCGTAGCACAACAATAAAAGCATAGGCTTCAAGTATTTAAGAAGAAAGGACAGTTTTTTCCTTAAAAGCATGGCATGCTCTTGAGTAATAATAAATATTGTTTTAATTTTCTTTATAGACAGTGTTAGAATTGGACAGAATGGAGATCTCTGTAGATGCTGTAAGTATTTACTAGCTTTAATACTTACCGACTACTTTAAATTTCCATTTTCATGTAGTGATTTTTTATTTTTATTGATTTTATTTTGAAGTTTCAGAAAAGATTTTACGAAAATGATTTATTGGATCAAGAAAAAGAGAGACAAGAGCATCTCCTTTTGGAAATGGTATATTTTATCAGTACACTGTCATTTTTTTAACAGATCGTAGCTAAATATTAATGAAGCAATAATTTTAAGGTAGGGGAAAGGGATATTAAGGAGAGACCTGTTAGTTTCATAATCTCTGTATGGTTTCATTTTACACTTTACAATAAGGTTAAGTCCTTCAAAGTAACAAATAACATCCTTTTCTAACATCCTTTTCTTTACTGGCTAAATTCTGCTTATCAATTAGAAAGGCAAACTGGAGTTTCTTGAAAAATACCACGCATAACATAATAAACTGATTACTGGAACACCTCAGAATTCACATACAGCTTCCCTAGGCAAGGAAATTAATGTCATAACTTCTTTTGTCCCAAGGAGGCTGAAGGAGGCTCAGTCTGTTACAAGCTTTGTTGTTAGCCAGAAAAAGAAGAAAAACAAAAGCTGCAGTAGGCACTTCACCACATAGCTTACATCTTCACCACGTACTACATTTTCCCAGAGCCAAGATTAGATTACTGCAGTCCTCTGTGTCTTCCGTTCTGCTGCCTCCTCTCCAGCCCGAGGTGGGAGAAGCTAAGAAGCTGATAGGATTTAGAAGATCCTGAATTTCCTTAACACGATTCCTTTGACTTGTAATATATGAACTTCTCTATAGAGAACCAGAACAGATTCAAGACTGTCCAAACAATTTAATTGTTTCCTACATTTGTGGTCCACTTTGATTTCAGTAGGTCCTGCAGGTCTTCTCTTGGACAGCTGATTTGCTCAGTATAAATACACCTGATTTATGTCCTTCCTGCCACCTCCCATTATCACGAGCAAGCAGTTCAACTTTGTTCTCAGGACCTGCATACACACATTCCAAGTCTTGAACTTAGCTTTAACAGTCTTCAAATGGATACAATGAATGCTTTTATAGTGAAGGCATTTGGGGCAGAAGAAAATAGCCTCTGGTGTGCTCTGTGTTACTGTGTATTGTATGATAACATTAATTTTTACACTGTTTCTACAGCTACACTTTAGAATTCCTGTGTTATAGTCCATTGATAGGGGCAAACCTTCTGTATCACAAAGGCCTCAGGCATTGTTTGTGACAGGCATGCTTTTGGGGAACCTGAGGTGTACACAGGAAATTGGGACATGTTGCAATCCCGAACAGATGAAGAGCCATTCAGCCCACTTAAATGTATCTGACTGCTAAAGCTTTAATACTGAATATGTTAATAAGTTTCCTTACTTTTAGTAGACTTTGTAGAAACTATATTCCAGAAACCTTGACTGTAATTAATTACCTCTTCTTTTTTTTTTAACTTGGGTAGTAATTAGAGTGACATGAAAAAAAATTGAGTAGAACAAATGTGGTTCACTTAACAGTTTTTATTTATGAAGATGGTACAGAAAATAAGCTAATATTATATAATTTTTTGAAGTTGGAGTGATATCTGTTCACCAAATAGAAGATATTTTAAGGCTACCTAATGTTACAGAAAGGCAAAAAAATTCCGTGACCATGAACAATTTTACATAGCTGATTTTGTTTTGCATAAAGATTTACAAACTGTAGATGTTAATTTGAGACCTTTATAATATTTGAGCATGTGACACACCTTAGCATTAGAGAAAAACATTTTCATTGAATTGTATTTCATTTAATTAAAAATATTGCCAGTGCTATTTTCAGAGTATTTGTGTAACAGAAAATTTTTACATTGCCAGCTGACAATTTCTGTATCTTTTTTAATATAAAAAACCCCAAAGGCCAGGCATTATTTTAATAATAAGTTATAGATTTGAACTTCAACTCTGAGCTTTTTTCAGAGTGTGATTTTTATGAGCTATTTTGCCTGATTTCTTCCAGTATTGTTTAATTGGTTCTCTGGATATTCACTAGGGGTTGAACTACTAGTAGGAGAGAGTAAAAATGAACCATTATCTGAGTGATTTGGAAGCAATCCCTTGTTGAAACACAATTTATTTACTTTTTCCTGAGTAATATTTAAGAAAATTATTCATTTTTTTAGGAACAATTAGAAAAAGAGAAGCAGCAAACTGAAGGAAGATCTACAAATATTAATGATAAAATGTTTGAAAAGAAGCGTAAGTTTATTTATTTGTGTATATATTGTTTGTGCATGCCTTACTCTTCTACAAAGGTAGTAGAGAAAAGAACAGAAAAGAGACACTTTACACCATAAATAGAGTTTAGGAAAGTGGCAATAAAATTTGCTTCTATATATTTCTAAAGTTATTTATGAAAACTAGCATCATTATATATTATATATAATAGTATATATATATAATAATATAATAATATATACATTATTTTGGCTTTATTAGTAAAATGCATTACAATTTAAATTCTCTGTTATTTTTCATTTTGGCATGTAATGTAAATACTCTTCTGTGGTATTTCTGAAGTGTTAGTAGCCCTGGGTTAGATATTTATTACTGTTTGCCCCAGGACTGTGATATGTTATGTCCTCTCTTTTATATAAATCTACGTTTTAAGAGAGAAGCAATTATACTGGACTTTTTTCGTAGGTAGAGACAGTAAAGCATCATCAGTGTTGGCAAAAAGTATCAATCTCTCTGTTTCTGGAAGCTCTTCTGGTACATCAGCAGGTAAGAATTGTTTTAAAAACTCTCCTAGAATGCTTTGGTCTCTCTCCACTGTTGACAACTGTGGACCAAAGTTTCATCTACTATACAAAGGAAAACATTCCACTCCTAGAAGTGAATGTGTTTTCTGTGGTTTTTAGGTTCTTTTTTTATTCTTTAGTACATAAATAGTGACCCAAGGTTTGGGTTTTTTTCATTATTAAAGTATTTAAATCCATTTCTTCAGCTACCATGGGTTGACAGAAAACTGTATTTAAAAGTGTTCTTAATTATTGAGGAAATGCAATGATATTGATATTAAAAAATGTTTGCTCTTTATAATTTTAGGCAAAGAAGAAAAAAAATCCAAGTTGGTTCGAAGCCAGTCTTTCAGTACTCAAGCACTTCATCCAAAATACAGCAACATAGACAAGTGTCCTAAGTATCTTTATTATCTTCATTGCTTACCTCATAGGCAACTGTGTACTAATAGACAGCTGTTATGAAATTATATGCACATGAATCTATGCAAGTAATGATGTGCTCACTGAATTGTGATCTAAATTTTCACTTTTCTCTTTAATTGATTGACTGAGGGAAGAAATACCATCTAAGGCATGCTGAAGCCTAAAAAGTTTTGTGAATTCCTTTTAAGTTAATATATGTCACCTTCTCTCATGTATTAAAAATAATTTTTGATATGAACTGCTAAATCTAATTTTGTACATTACTGAAGAGATTTCAGCATAACTTTCTCATTTAATTTTTTTATACAAACTCGGAAATAACCTCCAAGATTATTAAACAGCAGTATGATACAAGTGAGAGGAGCACTTTCTGAAATAAGCAATTTGGTTTTGTTTTGTTTGCTTTTTAAGTAAAAGTTCTGCTACAGGATATACATCTTCAGTATCAGGAATGGGAAAGAGTTGTATGTTATCCTTTAGTGGTAAGTAGGTTATTATGTTGTTTTACTTTAGTTTTTTGTGTGGATGTTGAATATGTCAGCTCCATTAAACAGGCATGTTGTAAAACATCATTCTACTAAAGACAGCAGCATATAGATATGCAGTACACTTGAACATTTAAGTGCTAGTGTAGTTAGTCTGTTTTTCAGGCTCTTCTTTTTTTCTTAAAAATTTGCTTGAAGTTGCATTTAAAAGTAGTAAAAATAAAATGAGTTTGTCATGACCCAATTGGAATTTTGGATACCATAAAAAGGTTGGATTTGCAGTTTTCTCCCACCTTTTTTACATAAGGAAAAGGAGTATTATGTATAACTTCTACTGAATTAAGAAAGAGAAATTGCTGTTTGCAGTTCTTTCCACTAGATGTTGAAGAGTTTGGATGATTAAAGATAAGACTGAAATGAACGACTTCCTAGAGGAACCTTTCTTTCCGTTCACTACTAATGGCCACTGGACAATTAAATTATATTAAATAGCTACATTTTAAGCAGCTAAAGATTGGCCAAATAAATCCTACTATTTTCATACATTAAATGTATTAATATTTTTTTAAAAATGCGTATTCTCATTATTTATTGTTTTTATCATAAAAATACTTGAAGAAATGTTAAATTGAAGCCATTCCCTTAAAATTTTGGATTAGTGCCATAGGAAATATGCCACTATTGCCACTGGAAAAACAACTCATTCTGTTTACTCTGTGTTTATTTTTTTTCAGCCAAAATTCTTTGTCTAAGCTGCAACTCTTTATTTCAGATGATTCATTCCGGACTCATTCTACTGGCAGTAGTGGGAATGCTGCCTTCCTTTCTAGTTCTTCTTCTCGCAACTTATTTAACTCAGCTGACCAAAAGAACAGTGGAAATAAGGAGAGTCAGTCCCGAAGGATGAGCATGTAAGTGGTTGACGAGAGGTTAAACCAAACTTACGGGGAACATTTTCAAAGGGAGTTCAAAGGAGTCATGTAAAATTCAGCCTATATTTAAGATACTGCTGCACACAGATTTTGAAACACTAAAATAGCAGTGTAGAAATGTGATGTACGCAATAATAAGTGTTTCTAAGATGGCATTACCTTCTAATTAGTCTTTCACATTGTTTTCTCTTGCACATGTTTGCATTCAGCTGCTAGATTCTGGGGAGGGTAAAATGGGACAAAGTGAAGGTTAGTGCCTTTGATATATAATAATTACAGTCACAGTGATTTAGCTGCCTGTAAATGGAGAAACAGAATATAAGTATTTTTAGACTACTTAATTTTTCATCGTCCTTCTTTTTATGTGCTTATATAGTTTATGTGTCATTATGTAACAATTTAATGATGAATCTTGAGACTTACAATGAACTGGTACTGTTACTTGTTATTAATGCCTTCTTTGCCTTGCCTTAACCATTTAGATAAATCAAAAATTCAGTGCTAAGCATCTGCCTTAGGCTGGTTCTCTTTAAACATCAGCCTAAACTGTTCAACATTTTGCAAGAATCAAGAATGTATTTGTTTGCTCGTATGATAAAACTGTAAGTCTTAGAAAATCACTGTGACACATACTCAAATCTCCCATTATCTTACTGGCAGGAAATTCCCTGCAGATTTCTTTTACACTATAACTTTTAGGTCTAAATTACTTCCATTGGACTAGCTGTAATTTTGGGTGCTCAAACTGAGACTTTTCTTGGCTAGCAGAGATTTTCATTCGTAGCCAAAGCAGAATGGAGAAGGGAAATGAACCAGCTGTAGCAAGAAAGCAAGGCTATTTAGAAAAGTAGATCTGTGTAGTAGAAGCCAAGGTAGGAAAGAGGAAACACCTTACACTGGTTTGCCAGATATAAATAGGAAAAAATAGTATTATCTCTTGAATGGTCTTTTCTGGTGAGTTAAGTATCAGAATGAATATATTTTTCCATTTCAGTATTTTCAGATTCCTTTAAAAAACAAACCAAAAAACGTCCCCTCCACTTTCCTCACAATTTTAAGTTAATAGAATTTGTAAATTACAAAACAAAGCACTCAAAAGTTGAACAAACATGAAAAGAAATTCTCTGAACAGCATTCATTTATCTACTTGTATACTTGAATTTTTCTGCTGGAGTTATACCATCTTCACTGTACAAGATAATTTTTTTCTGGAATGAAGTCAAGCTTGTGTAGTGATCTCTTGTTTTTAAAATTGCATTTTCTTGGTAGAAGAGGTTGGAAGGTAAGTAGTGAATGAAGATGGACTGTTTGTGTTAAGTGGTTTCACAGTAATTTGTCCTTATGATGTGAAATCACAGTGCCCTCTGTCTCTGTCTTTGCCAGTGTCTAATGCTTTCTCCTTAATAATACCCACAGTACTTCAGACTTTTTATAGGTGATCATTAGGTGGTCACTTATTTCAAAGTACGTCGTTTCAAACTCAACTATTAGATTAGTAGACATGCTGACATTTTCAGATATCTATAAAGTAAATGGGACATGTACCTTGAGAATGTAAAATGTCATAGAGTGCTACGTAGTTTCAAAAATTAGGTGTGCTCAAAACCTCATTTTCTTTCACTATATACCTCTGTTCCCTTGCTTTAAAACCAGAAAATAAGTTCAAATATGATCTTTTTTTTAGCAATCATTGTAGGAATTTCAATTACTCATGTCTCACAAGGATTTGGGGAAAATAAATGGATTAATATTCACAAAGCAGTTAGATGCAAAGGTTAGTTAGACATTTTTTACATAACATAAAACTTTTCCATATTTCTAAGGTTTTTATATCTGTCACTTAAAATAAAACTGATACCTTTTGCTTGAATAGAAAGGGACAGAAAAAGGCTCACACAGAGCAGTTTGCACCTTTGTCTTCAGGCAGGAGAGTGAAATGTAAGAGACTCACCCAGCTTCAAGTCTCAACCTACCGTTCCCACATGAACACCTTAACAGCAGAGTATTTAAAAGTTTGTATCTGATCAAACACAATGATCTGGATGCTTTCTCTGGTTCAGAAAGTCCCTAAACTGCATGGTGTCAGAAGCCAATAGGATATACTAGGGGAAGAAAAACATTTTTGGAGAAAGAAGAAGAGGCTTAGGATGGTGTACATTTAGTTCTGAGTAAGAGTTTTTATATTCTGTGTTCTTGAGGGAAAACACATCTCTCAAGTTGATATAATGTCTGCTGTGCTGTAGATTCATTTTCTCTTTTGTAATCTGGCCCAATACTTAATTATTTTCATAAGAAAGTGGAGCAGCTCTATAAGGAGGAATTAAGAGATACAGATAAAGGAATGTTGGGCGGTAAATGCATTCATTTGCATAACCTCATTAATCACAGATATGTTTGAGTGTACCTTTTATCTTTCTTTTATTCAGAAAGTCAGTCCTGGTGCCAAATATACACATATTAAAATAAATAAACCCAAACATGCCAGTTTCAAGGAAACATTATTTTCTAAGTTGAAAGATGGAAAAAATTGATATCCAAGTATATAAGCAGTTGACAGAAATGATTCTGAGAGGACAATTTGAAAATTGTACAATGAGAAATACAATAGAATAGGTACTCATGAATGAGTGTCACCTTCAGTGGACTCACTAAGGCAGAAAACTTGTGAGAAAATAATAATTGAGTATATAGTTAGACTATATCGTCATGTAAATTTACATATGTGCTGATTAAACTTTGCACTGGCCATCTCATCTTAATTCTGGCAAGTCCTAGCTTTCAGTTTGCTGGCTCTACAACTTGAATATGATAACTTCTAATATGTTACTTTTTCTAAATAATTAGGTGTGTTATGTGGGCTGTAACATGTTGTTTAATAATTAAAATATAATCAGATATAATGAATGATTCTTAGTTCAAAGTGATATATGTTTGGACAACATATTGTCTATTTGCTTAAGCATAATATTTTCCATAAAATTGCTCTACTGAATATTGGCAAATGTTCACTTTTGACAATACAGTGCAGTTTGCAGGGATGAAGAATTTCTGATTTCATATATGATAATGCTCCAGGAATTTTTCAAAACTCAAAGTGACTTTGATGGAGAACTGAGTTCTTCACTTACCCTACTCATGAATTCAAACATGTGGTTTGTTCCATTTCAGATATGTGAAAATAATGTAGCTGCAAGAAAAAAAAAGTCAGTAAATCATGTTCCAGTGCTCACAAGACAAGAAAGTGACCATTAGCATTGTTGTAATTTGCTAGACCTTAGGTAATCCTAAAGCAATAGAAAATACAAGAATTATGCTTCAGATGCACCTGTGTAACTTAATGGTGGAATCACAAAAGAGATCAATATCTGCTTTAAGTACCTTATGGAATAGGAAAAAATCACAAGGAGCACTGGTTGAGTATTTCGTCCCACAAGTGATCTTATTTCAATCACTTTGCAGAGCAGACGTGCTTTTCTGACTTTAGCTTGAAGAGTTGCCAGTTAGATCATGAATCATCCTAGTGCAGACATTGACATGATTCATGAACACTGCGTTCTGTCAAGTAGTCCAATCTTGTATCATTGTGCTGTGAAGCTTTATTATATTCTTTTGAATGTTTTCAACTTAGAATAGATATAATCTGTTTAGCTTGAGTTTACATTGCTGTAATATGACTGATTTCAATATCCAGTTTTTTATCATAGAATCATAGAATCCATTGGGTTGGAAAAGACCTCCGAGATCATCGAGTCCAACCCTTGGTCCAAATCCAGTCCATTTACTAGATCATGGCACTCAGTACCATGTGCAATCTGTGTTTAAAAATCTCCAGGGATGGTGAATCCACCACCTCTCTGGGCAGCCCATTCCAATGCCTGAAAAACTATTTAGAAACTTTATAGATTAATCAATAAAAATATCCACCTTATAGACAGCACTTAAGAATCGTGCATCTTGCCTACAGACATACAGATATTGCCTGATATTATTTCCCTTTCATTTAAAACTTTCTTCAAGAATGAGTGGTACAGGTTTTCCATCCTCTAAAAAGTGGGAGTAGTTTATTGTTGCATAGAAATTAATTTGTTAATAATAAATTGATATCAGTATTTTATAAGATGTCCACAGCTGAACCTTTAGACATCCAATTTGGTGCATGGCCATATTATAGCAATTATATGTGTAAGTATTTTATATACTGTCTTTCATCCAGTCATATAATTGCTTAGGAAGTTGAGTACAAAACGAAATAGTTCTGCCACTGATCTCCAACACTTTGAGTTGGTTACTTACAGCTTCTAATCATGTTTTCATGCTGATGCTTAAGATGCTAGGAGTTCTGAGGTCCAGTGGGAATGGCATATGTTTTGCATCACATTTTTATGATGAAACTGGTAGGTATCCTGACACTGATATATTATCGTACAATATATGCAGTTTTTAAATATTCAGCAGTTTTAAAAGGGCAAAACAGAACAATATATTGTGTTATATGTAAATGATACTGTAAAATATTGATGCAAATTAACATTTCCACAGAGTTCTAAAAATTAAGCCCCATTGTTTGAAATATTTCTGACCAATACAAACAGTTTTTAATTGACATAGCCACGACTCTGTGAAGCTGAAAACCAGTACATTTAAAGATTAAAAAATTAAGGCATGAAAAATCCAGAAACTACCCAGAGGACATTGTGGTCAACAGATGACCTAGAAATCACACAGTAATGAGCTCTAAGTTTCTCTCTCCTCCCCATCTTCACTTTCCCCAGATTTTATCGTGGGTTGGGCTGGAGACCTCTGGCACTTTTTGTAGCCATGAGCAGACTGGTTGTAATAGCTTAGCCATCTCAGATGGATCTCTGTGGGACCTTCTGCAGACAACTTAATGGAGAACTTCACCCTTGTTGTGAAGAATGCCCTCAGGATGTGTCCATTTGGCTTTTTTAGTGGGTGTAGTAGAGCAACTAGTAATTTTTAAAGCACAGCAGCTTATAATTATGTTAAAATGTTGCGCACAATAACAGTTTGTTATGTTATTTAATAATATAGTAACAACAAATTATGTATGTTTCTTCTTTTGTATGAAGAAAAAACAGAAAATCAAACTCCTAGATCATCTGACAGAAAAAAGAGGGAACCAGAAACTGGTGGAAGCAACGTTCTGGTGAGATAAGTTGGGAGCAGCAGATGGGACTTTCTAATACCTGGAATGAATAAAATACATCCTGCGATGTTAAAACTCTTAAATAAATCTTTTAAATAAAATTCCAAGCTGCAAAATATGTTCAGATAAACAATGTAATGGTTGCAGAATTGTGAAATGATATGGACTATAACTTCAGCTATGTACTCTTTACTGCTGTAGCTAAAGAGAAGGTTTTGTTTTCTTCTATTATGCCTTTGTAGTTCAAATTCTTAGATTTAGAATGCACATACCCATTACTTAATTGGCTTATCTACAATTTTAGCAACTCTCAGCACCCATGTTTTATGCAAGTAATAGAAAGAATTGTTATGAATATGAAAAAGTAATCCCACATTTTAAAGAATCTGATTTAAGACCAAAGTCCAGAACCATTGATCAGTCTATTAAAAAAACCATAAACCTTAGAAGCATTGTGCTGTGAATTTGGAGTTAATGCTTTTCCAAGTACTCAGTTCATAAAAATTCTGTATAAGTTTCAAAGCAATCTAAAAGCAAATGTCTCCAGATGATGTAAAAAAAAAGTTTTATTTCATAAGTTTTGTTATATAAATACTTGTTTTGATTTTTAGTATTTCAGATTGTATTTTCACTTGAATAATTTATAGTAATGAATCCAGTTTTTAATCAGCTGTAATTGCAAGCTGTCATGGTTCAGTGATGTCATCTGCATTTGTTTGTACTAATGCTAATGTTTCTATCAAAATTTCTCTGTGGAAAAACATGCAATCCTATTTTAAAAAGTGCTATTTATGCCAATACTTGAGAGAGAGCCTATGAAGCTATTGTCAGCTTCTCTATTCCAAAATCGAAGCAGCATTACTATATTGATATCAGAAATATGTGGTTTTTAAAATTTATTGGTGTATGATAAAGATGATCTGATCTGTGTATGCATATGCGCGTGTGGTTACTTTTTATAATGTAAAAACATGAACAATGATTTACTCAAAATAAAACCTAGGACAATGCTGTACATGCATGTTCTTGAAAAAAAGTTCTCAGGGCATCTTTTATAATTAAAATAAATAAAAGCATTTACCCATAGAGGGTATTTATTTAAAATGGTAATAATGCTGGATGTATGCTGTCTTGTGTGAAGTAGAAAATGTGCCTTTGGATTTGGCAGTATTTCAGTCTCTGAATTCTTAAGCTTCTTACACCACAGTTGGATTTACCTGTATTCTGACTTAAGTCACAGACATTGTCTAGGCTCTGTGGAAACACTCAAATTTTCAGTTTGTTCTGCAGCCTGGTGTAGGATCTTGTAAATGACAGATTTCTTTGAAAGCTTCTGCAAGTATTACGATGTTTAACGTTCAGTATGGATATAGATACACAGATGACCTGTGCTGGCTTCTCCTGGGTTCTGCTTTTGTCTCACTGATGAAAACAGATACTCCCAGCTCCCCATGGACAACTAACTCATTGTGCCAGCTACAGCTGCTCACCCATGGGCCACAGGAGACTGCTCAATCTGTTCTTAGTCTGACTTTTGCTAGGGACCAAACTGAGACCAGCAGCAGCCAGCTGCAGAACAGGACACAAAACTGTGTTTACCCTTTCAGTGGCTTTATTAGAGCAATGCAAAACAACCAGTAAGTTCAGAAATGAATCTAAGCTCTTTTTCCCCTTAAAAGCATGTAATGAGTTCTGTATACAGTCTGTCTTTTTGTTTCATATTGGCTGTCATTTGTTTGTAATTTTTAACTGATTAATTTATTTAATACTGATAACACATACTCCACTCAATAACCCTATTATGTAATAAATTCTTGCTATGTAATCTTTAAATGCTCTATTTAAATGTTTTTTGGACTAGGCATCTTCCTTGTGGAATACCTTTGGTGTCTTGTGCATACTTTCATCAGTCCTTCACAATACAGACCTTCATCCAAGCAGTCCTTTTTGGGGCCTCTCACTTCTAGGTTAGTTCTGTTAAAGGGCACCAGTGCTTTTGAACCCCTCAAAGCATTGGTTTTACCTGCTAATCACCTGTAGGTCCAGAATAACAGCTGAAGGTCAACTTTACAGTGTAATTGGTTGGTTCTCATATACACCAGCAGCAGGAAGGAGTGATTCTCCTTCTGGGTACGTTCATACTGCCTTGTGGAGTTAGGTTAGATGTACCTTCGTAGTCCAGTCAGATACCAGAACCTGCCTCTTAAGTCCTTTTGTGAATGTCTTACCCCAGTGTCTGGGCTGTTGTGGGCAGACATCTAATGGTAACTGAGGTGATTTTTTGAGATTTGCCATCTTTATCCTCTAATTTATCTTTTGTATCTTCTCTTGTGGATGCATCTGTCTATGTGTGTTTACTGATAAGACGTCTTTGAAGCTCCGTGTCAAATGATTTTGAACACTCTTCTGCTCCCTTTTTGGCACCTATTTTGTGAAGGTTGTATGAGCAAGCAAAATAAGGCTTAGATCTGTTAGTTATATAAAGCTAGAAGGAGATTTTTGTGTTGTTCCGTACTTTATATATAGGACTCTGCTAATTAAAATTTACTGAATATTAAGATTTTGCAGTTCTGTTGAAATCACTGCTCTACTTGAATAAAGGGAATTGTGTTTAGATCATGGAAGTGTTTTTCTGTAGCATTTTGGCAACATATTTTGGACTCTGGGATGAACTCCATGAATAGATTTATTCCAATTTTATGGAGGTATGTTTTTTTCCTACCAAAGTCGGTCATAGTTCAGTCATAAAGTCCTGTTACATAGCTCACCCTGGTATCTAGATGATATTAGAGGCAGAAATTCTGGTTTTAGGAGAGGCCCAGCTTGGTGTTATGAAATAGTACATGCCAGATTTTCCACATTCAGAATATCTGTTATTTTTCTGAATTATTTTGTTTTTAATACAGGGAATATTTTCAAAGCAGGCACATCATGTACTCTGAGAGAATGAGGTGATTTGATACTCTGCATAAACACTTTAAGAGGTCACACTCACAGACAATGTATTAGACTTCATGATAGACTCAGTGCAATTTCTTCAGTTATAAAGATCTCTAGAGAGAGGCTATAAATTCTTTATTAGGGCTTGATACTGCTTCTGTTTTTGTAAGTGGCAAAAGTACGCTAACATTGAAGTCACTAGGCTCTTAAGTCTCTGCAACAGAGGATAACATTGAGGAAAACTGCAGTGTTTGGGAATATTTTGGCATATGAATCTGGGGTTTTATTCAGACATCACTAAAATACTGATTTTTGAGAATTCAGTTCTGTGGTTTTGTTTTTTGTTTTTTTTTTTTTTTAATTTCAGACAGATTTTAAAAGTCACATTTTTGCCACTTTGAGCCTTAGTGAATTTAGCTTGTTACTTGGCATTAATAATTACTAGGATGACCTGCTGCTAGCTGGAGAGACAAAACAGGTTTTCACATTTCATATTTCAATGTCTTTTTATTCTAATAGAAATTAATAAGATAAAAGTAATGCCTCTTATGTACCAAAGAATAGACACTGTTACCTTTATTCACATTTTTGTTGGATCAACCACCCTGCCAATGAACAGTAATGTTTTAAAAGTTTCTTCAAAAATCATAAAAAGGAAGGGTCGGTTCACTTTGATGACAGGAGGCACCGTGAGTGCAATTATTTCTGACCCACTGGCTGCTGCAGCCTCAGTTCCTTCTTCATCCACTTCAATTACTGCCTTTTGGACAACCTGAAGTACAAGGTAGAAATAAAATATGTGACAGAAATAAATATTAACATGAAGAATATTTTTCCAAGTGAGGCATTCAGTTGAAGTAGGCTTCTGTTAAGGATCAAAAATGTGAGTGGGTCAGTGCAATCTAACTCTGCTAGACTGGTAGACCCACGTGCTGTCTACTTCAGCAGCAAAGATATTAGTGCAGCCACCATACCCACAATACTCACATTGTGGATGTTAGTTCAGGAGTCATTGTGCTTTTCCATGCTTCTGAGCATAGACTTCACTTAGAGATTGGGGTTTTTGTTCTTGCAGCTGGTAGCATGGAGCAACCATTGCATTTGTATAGTGCTCTTCTTTGACACCTAACTGTGCAAGGGAGAGTTTCTCAAAAATAGGGAGTGTTTTCAGCAGTCACAAACACTGGCTGAGTATGTCATCCACAGCTGATTTTGTGAGAGCTTAGGGAAATGGATCAATCTTGGCTTTTTTTCCCTGTATATTTCTAATTTGTTCGTTTGGTAGCGCAGATTAAATGTGTGCAGCAATGAGATTAATGCTGGCTTGGTTTGAGGACCTTCCCACTGAAATCGCAGGCTGACAGAATCTGATTCTTTTCCATTTTGTTCTTTCAGGCTGCATATACTTTTGAGTGCTTCCTCTATGTTTGGTGAACTGCCTGGTCAGCTAGTGGATTTCCAACTCCCATACTCCTCATTCTAGGAATTACTTATATGAGACGGTTAAAGGACTTCACCAGTGTTGAGCTCTCTGCTAAACATTCTTAAATAATGAATTTGGCTTTCATGATTCACAGGGACAGGATGCTCCTTTGGCACTTTACAGCTGATGCACATATTGCTTCTAATACCAGTTAGCAGCTACTCTTAAAGTGTGATTTTTTTTCATAACACAATAGAGTTAACTGCTGAGAATCAGTACAAAAGCTATATGATCACAAGGAAGGGTGGGAAAGTGCTGCAGATTGCCATTGTATTTCCCAACAGTGAAATAGTTTATAACAAACTGAAAATCACTGCAATTCTCATCCATTAAGTATTTATTCTTAGGATGTTACATTTTCCCAGAAAGGTTGCTTTGTTAAGCCAGCACAATTTTGAAAACCTGTAGGTCGGGCATTAGAGTTTTTGAAACTTATATAGAGGTGTTTATTATACCACCCTATTAACTGGCCAGTCCCAAAGGCTTCTACAAGGATTTGGTGTAGGGAGACTTGTAAGAGCAGCATCTGGATACTTCTTTCTCATAGGATACAAATACCTCAAGGAAGGATGCAAAGAAGATGGAGCCAGGGTCTTCACCTTACATAAGTTTATAAAGCTGTGTTTTCAAATCCTGTGTCAGATTAGTATCATTTGGGTCTTGTTTTCCTCAACTGTTTATAAATTCATCTTGTTTCAGAAATTTTGTTACTTCTACTCTAATGTAATTTGTATTTAGCATTAATTGCATTTCATCTTGTTCCACCTCCATTCTAAAGGTACAAGATTCTCTGTGTAGTATGTCTTTTATCTCCTTTCTTTGATCATGCCTTTTAATTTTCTATCATCAGCAAGTTGTCTTTTCTATAGACTAGCTGTTTCTTTTTCATAAGGCATCTCTTGTCACACAGACCTGATCTTTCTTGATACTGATGTGATTGTCAAGTCCTCTGTCTTCCATTTCTTCTGCTTCTCATTCTGCCTCTGTTTTCTAACAATCTATTGAAATTCATCTTTGCTCTCCCTTAAGTAGTGGTACTAAGTAGCTCCTCCTCCTTTTTTTCCTTGGGGCTGTGTTCTGTCTTTTTGGCCATTCACTGTTCTTGCATTTGCCTGTTTAAAGATCTTTAAAAGTTCCAGCATATGAAGTGGAACATCTGTTTGGTTGGAGTACAACTATGTTGTGCCAGTGCTTTGCTGTGAGATTCTGGTTTTAATTTTCCATGGTATGCAGAAGAATAGGCAGGACTGCTTTGATTTCTCTTTCTCACTGTTACCTTTTTGAGATTTTATTATTTGAACTTTCCAAAGTTCTTTATTTTTTGAGAATTATACCTGTCTCTGGACTGTGTATGATGAGTTCCCTCTGGGTTTCCTTCTGTGCTCTGGCTTTTACCATTTGACAGTAATTTACAATGTCTTTCTTGTTCACAGTTTTTGTGCAGTTGTGCTCCTTCTCTGTCAACCATATTCCTCTTGAGGCAGAGCTCTTCTCCTGTGATGGATTAGCTTTGGGAGGTGTTGAGCATTTGTGACATATAACTGTCCCTTACTTCTATACACCTCATACTTGAAGTGAGATCCATATTGAATAAGGTGTTTAGATTGCAGATGAGGTACTTTGGTATTAGTGTCCCTATAAATGTGTATGACA